TATTTAAATATTGTACCAAAGTTAAACCTTGTAGCTAAAGGTGCACATTCTGCTTCACCTCTAGCCATGCATATACAAAGAGGTTAACTTAAAAGTCGCATGATAATATGGATAGAAATGCACACTGGAGTGTGCTTCCCGTGTGAAGCATTTAATCAGGGATAGACTGCATCATCATTCAGATGTATGTCAATTTAATGACTGTGGCTCTCAATCCAGCAAGTGATTAGTATGTGGAAGCTTGTGCAAGCATTCATAGCTGGATTGTGTCAAATGCTTCCCATGGCTTAGGGCCTTTCCTAGCTGGACAAAATAGTTTTGCCTAGCAAGTGTCCTTAGTATGTGGTTACTGCAGAATTGAACACACACAGAATCATTAATATCTTGTTGCATGTGAGCAGAACACACAGATTGGGAGGAACCCCTGTGCGCTGTGCTGCGTGATGAGTCATTGCCCAGCAGTATCTACAATTCTCCCCCACCCCCACACTTTTTCTACAAGCAGACTTTTCAAGAGGAAAGCAGGAAACACTGTGTACACCAGAGTAGAAAAGTAAAATTAGAAGATGGTAGGCCTCACGTGGCTTAGTCACTACCAACAGCTGATTTCTACTTTGGAGAAATAGGAGCAGGGCTCTTCATACCAGATCTTGCTTCTTCAATATATGTGAAATAATCACAGTCTTCTGTTTTCACAAAGACTAAAACTTAGTTCGTGCAAGTAGTGCATAAAGTGATAAAACTGTCCCTAGATAATACTGTTTCAACCTGCAGATGGACGTTTGCAGTACTGACAGTACCAAAGGGTAGCTGAATATATACTGTGGAGAGGAATATCTAATTCACCCCGTGATGCTCTTTGCAATGCATGTTCTCAAAGTTAGCTCAGTGCCTAGGAGGCATGCATATGTCTCAGATTGGAAGGAGAAAGTATATGCCTGTGTCTTTACAAGCTAAAAATATTTCCTTTTAACTTTCACATGCCTCAGATAGGCACCTTTATTCCCACTGTGGCACACAAAAGCTGGTGTGATCAAATAGTTTGAAACATGCGGATGTCTTTACATCACCAGTAAGTGAGGCTGCTCGTGGCTTGGTTCTGACAGGTAAGGCAGGCCCCATAGGTTAATGGAAAAGCCTACGCATTACAGGCAGAAGGTCTTGGGTTTGGTCTTTGACATTGCTGTCCTAAAGGGTCTCAGGTTAGTAAATTTAAGAAAGACTTTGGAGAGTTATTGTCTGGCAGAGGAGATTGTACTGTAGTAGATGGATTTGTAGTCTGACTGAGGATGTGGTGACATACAGTCCAAAGAGAGGCACGTCAAATGGATGCAGCACCTGGTCTCTGTTTGTATGTGGCATAATAATAATTCAAGACAACATGCACAGTAGTTAGTTAGAGTTTCTAGCTGCCCTTTGGCATCCTACTCTAAGCTAGAGCTTTTGAGGCAGTGTTTTTCAGTTGGTTCTGGGGAATTGCATGGTCCCTTGGAAGCAATAGCAGACCATCTTCATGGGAAGGCAAATGGCCTGCATGCTGCTGCCTCTCCTTGCAATGCTGCACAGCCATAGTTGGATGGTTTCTAGGGCAGATTTGGTTTACACAGAATGATAATGAGACCCCATAAGAGTAGCCAGTTCTACGCCACCTGCAAACTGTGTGTATCCTAAAATATGCTCTCAGAATCCTTTTGCAACATGCAGGGTACACAAGTTAATATGGGAAGTCTTCCCTCAAGGAAGCAGAGGATAGAACCTTTCTGTCATTTTGTAGAATTTTGCCTGTGAAACATTGAAATGGTGATTGCTTGCAGGGCGATTCCCACCGAATACTGAAGTGTTGCCATTTATTATTCTGGGCTTTGTCAGTGTAAAGGGAAGAGAGAATGCTGGTTCATTGTAGTATTTTGTGGCTTAGACCTTTTCATTTTTCAGTGGTTTCTCACCATTTTCCCCCATCATCTACCTCAGGTCATTTATGAAACCTGCATTAATTTTTTTTTTCATCCTTGTCAGAGAACCCAGCTCGTGGAGCACTGCTGAAGCTTAGTTGGCAGGAACTTGATCAGAAACTTGGATGGGAGATTACTTTGAGCCTCCTGTAAGAGTAAAATATGGGTATCAAACATCTTTAAATCTTAGATCATCCACAAAACATTGTTTCTGCTGTGAAGTAAGAGAAGGTAACAGGCGTGCTGCATATGAACAGTGCCAAGTGGAATGCGTATGAGGTGAGGTGCTAGTCTGTGGATGACTCTGAGAGCAGCAGTGTGGAAGGCAGAGAAACCTGAGAGAAGGGGCCTGATCCAGCAGGATGTTCTGTTGCACGAGCTCCATTGAACTGAATTGAAGTGGATCTTTGCAAGAGCAGCTCCTATTCATTTCAACAATCTTGTGCAGGAGAAGATTGTGCTGCGTCTTGTCCTACATTTATTCAATGTAGGTTTTCTACTTTGTGAGTGAAAAGCCCTCTTGAGTTGGTTTGAGCTTGCATATACCTTCTGAAGTTGCCTGAGGCATGTTGCTTTACCTGCAGAAGCAATCATTTTCACAAATTCTAAGACCAAATCTAGATTTCCATAAGGGATGAACAGTATTCTCAGCAACATTTGCTAATGCAGCTTTAGATAGGAAGTCATTAGGAGACAATGGTCTCGTGAATCATTCCGTTTGTGTTCCCTTCACTTTTCCTGTTGAAAACATATTTGTCCTTGTTATTGCACATAGGTGTGTGTGAATGTGTGAGTGCGTCACTGTCATGGCATCCTCCAACTGCTGTGTGAGCAACAGAATTTATTTGGATATCAATATATCTATAGATATAGATCTCACACATTAATTTTAAGAGTTTTTTTTAAGTGTCATGGTTTCAAAGATGTAAGTTACAAAGCACCAACCTATGCATGTATTTTGGGGGGGGTGTTGGGGGGGGAAGTGATCACCATTGCATGCCATGAGCCTCGCTTTACTTGTCTGGATGCTGTTTTAAGAAAAGTTTTTAAAAATTTAAAACGTTAAAAAAAATTATAGAGAGAGTGGGGTGGGAGAGAGTGAGCAAAAAAAATAAAAATTTAAAAACCTAGGCACTGTGTAGGGAGGACTGATGATGTTGTTTGTCTTTTCGCATGAATTTTATTGTGAATTGTTTTTTAAAAGGGAAACAAAAACAAACAAAAAACCCCAACAATATAAATGACACCACACCAAAACTCTGTAACTTTTGTAAATCTTTCTGCTGCTATCTGTAGGTAGTTCTATGTATAAATTCTATGAATGCCCATGTTTTCTTCTGTGACAAATGTGATCATTGTTCGTCAGAAATTCCAAATGAAGGAGGATTGCTTTTTTTCTTTAATTTTCCCTCTTTTTTTCTTTGCTTCCTATCAGAGTGTCTGACTTTAATAAAATACTCTTTCCCCTCCCCGTGACACCTCTTTTTCTTCAGGCTTTGTTTCACACTGTTCCTGAAAAAGAAACAAAAAATGTTAGAGAGAGATCTATTGTGTTTCTTGGTATTTGCAGAATGGTATGTAGCGTCTATGATTTTCGGCAACCATTACATTTAGCACTTGTGGCCAGAACTAAGATGGTCATGACACCTGCTTTGCAGAAGACTGTTCTCTGTGTTAAACTTTCCACAATCTAGGCCAGTTTAAAGATCAGAAACCAAGAGCAGGAAGAGTGGGGGCTTTGCAATTGCCCACCCACAGGCAGCACCTAAACAGCAGATTTAACAGGCAGGCACACAGGAATTATGGTTATAATGGTGAGCTATGTCTAATTAAATTGCCTTTTAGAGTTAGTTAGCATATACAACTTTAGGTAACTTTGCATCTCACTATATACTTAATTTGGTGATGCATTTCCTCTTTTAGGGTTATGTGCAGTGGCAACTTTAACAAGAATTTGGGACAGAATCAGATGTTCATGAGAGCATAGTTTCAGTTGGTGTTGCCACAGCAATTGCCACACAGTAAAAGGTGCAGGGAGTGGAGAGGAGAGGACTGCCGCTGCCAGGAGAAAGAAGTCTGCTCAATCCCTTTTTCTGAACTTGTCAGTTCTGCCCTGCAAATGCCATGTGGGCCTTTTCCTCTCAGCCAGCTCACTTCCTGTTTTGAAGCCTTGTTAGGAGAAAGTTTAAACCTTACCAGGCGGTAAAGAACAATTGCAGGGCAGGCTCAGCAAGCAGGGAAAAGATTGAGCACTTCCTATCATGATTCTCCCTGTCAAGTGCCTGTTGACACCATAAGGTAAATTCTGGAATAAGGCCCTCATTTTCCCCTCACAAATAAGTTCTGTCCTTAGAATTCTAAGAAATAAGATTATTTCTGCACCAGATGCCTTGCAGTAGGACCCTTTGGAGAATGCGGGTGTTGGCTGATGGAACTCTGAAGCCAGATAAACTTTTCACCATGAGATTTAGTGCCTAGTAACATCCTTGACATTTCACCCAAGTAGCAGGATCAAAATCAACTAAGCAGTATGCTGTTTTGGTCTTACCTGCATAATTTAAACATTTTACTTACCTTTACTGCATTTAGTCTTTCTTTATTGCAGTGGAATATGAACAGATCCCCCCAATAGGCAACTTCTGGCAACTGGGGAGGCTGCATTAATCCTCTTGACCTCTGCTGAGGGTGCACCATGCCACTGTTGAAATTCAGTGGCAACAATTTTGCTTTAAAGCAAAGCATGTGGGGAGCACATGTCATGCTTTGAAGCAAAACTGAGCTTCTGTGAGGCTTCTGAGATTTCAGTATTGCTTCTGAACAAGATACACACCTGTGTATATGTGTTAGGGGGCACACAAAATACCAAGATAGGGTCATGCAGCAGATGAGCAGCATCTTGCCCAAAATTAGGGCTTTGGTAAAGCATTTGTTCATGAGGAATTGTAGGAAGAGAAGTGAATTCTTCCTGCCCTGGAAAGAAACACATGTCCAAAACTACAGTGTGTACAAAGAAGTAGAGGTTATATTTTAAATAAGCAAGCAAGCGTGTTCTCTGAATAAGCCAGTTTATTTCCTGTATATATATATTTATATATGAAACTGCAGTTCTGAGGCTATTTTCAAGGCAGAGTTTGGATTTTGTTACTTAGAGCGAAAGAGAGAGTGAAAGAGAGAGCGAGAGTGTGAAAGAGAGAGTGAGAGGGTGAAAGAGCACGCGAGCAAGACAGATGTACAACACAATAAAGGGGCAAGAAAGAGAAACCATGCAGGCAGGGTTTTTGTTTAAAAAAAACAACAGCACTGTTGCATAATCTCAGTTTTTAAAAAGAACAAAACAAAGTCTTTTTAAAAAAATCCTTATAAACTCTTTTATCATATGTTACACATTGAAAGGGTATTTACATAATGCGAAAAATAAAACTTTACAGCAAATATTTGCATAAAAGGATACAATGCATAACAGTAGCAAATAGTTTTGCTCAGTTTTAAATTCTACACCTTCACCTATCTAGACACTCCTTCAATAGAAAGACTGCAAAACGTATACTAGAAGGTGTGGAGTGTAGACTGTAGCACATTGTTTGCTAATTTGACTAGCACAACCATAGGCAATTTTGAGACATTTAAAAGTTTTGTAGTTAAATATTAATTTGATGTCCCGAACTACATGAACAAAGTTTACAACTCCTCTGTCCTTTTTGGGATTTGCCTTACAAAACACACTCCCGCAGATCCTTTCTGATCGTGAGTGTGGGACCATCAGTGGGTACATGGGTGGGGCATTCCTCACTCCTAACTGCCAGAAAGGGCCAACCAACTCACAAACTCAGAACTATGGTAGTTTTCAAGTTCCACATAAGTTTTCCTCAGGCAGAGGAACCTCATGAGCTTTTTGAAGGTGGAAACTTTATGTATACTGTTTACCTTTAATATTATTTCTACTTTCTTTGCATTTACTACTTGTTGAGGGTGAGGCCAACACCGCAACTATTGCCAGACGAGGATGACACAGTAATGAGTGAGGAGAATCTCTTCTCATGTGAGACAAACACAGTTTCCCTGTTCTTGAATTCAGTGCTTGGGGCAAGAACTAGGGTGGCCGTGGGACTGCTTTACAGAAGACCATTTTCTTTTTTAGGGTTTTCCCCCATCTGAGGCCATTTTCAGCAGGGAGAGCAGGGTCCTTGAAATTGCCCACTGTCAGCATCTTAACACCGGGTTCAACAGGCAAGCACACAGATGGTATGGTTACAGTTTTCCCATTATGACGCAGTACATTTCCTATTTCTCCACCCTGCACAAGCAGAGGCAACAGCTCATGTACACATTTTGAGCAGGGAGAGAGCTTGCTAAATCTAAGCCAGATATAGAAGTATTGCAACCAGTATGTGATGCTTGTTCATAAACCACAGTTCATTTAGTCTAGGAAGACAGTCTGAACCAGGCTACTATGTTTCAGCCTAACCTATCTTACACCAATATTGTAAGAAAAACTGTGAAGCATACTTACTCTGAACTTAGCAGAAAGTGGGATACAGATTTAATAGAGGGCTTCAGAGTCCCTCAGTTTCTTCTGACATAGAAAGATAGCAAAACTACGACTGCCAGCAGACATTATTTGCTGTTTTGGTGAAGGAAATGTCAAATAAAGATGATGGTTCCTTTTCATCCTCCGGTAATAAAGCCTTGCTAAATGCTTCAAGCAGTGAAATTCACTACATTTTATCTGTTCTTTCGGGTGCTCAAAGGGGCGGTTTGGCTTCCTAACCACCCCATGAAAAACAATTTGACCAGAGTCACCCAGCAAAATTCCTAACCAAGGATTTAGACCAATTCCCTAGAAAACTACAGAAACTGCTCACATGTGGTTAATAGTTGACTTTTTGAAGAAAGAGTCACCATGTGGGAGAAACAGGGGAAAACCATCTCACAGTGAAATTTCTTTCTTCAGGATTATCATGTAGCTTCTTCCAAAGTGATGATACTTCTGCAAAGAGGCACAGTGGGGACAGCAGCATCTCATGCACTCCATAATAGTTTTCATGTATTTTAAAAGGTGTCTCCTATATTTATTTGCTTCAAAAGCACTCCAATTTTTCTATCCACTGTTACGAACACATGAAATTCTACAAAGACAAGAAGTAGTGGGAACATGTTATGCCCACAAGATGAAAACAAATGGAAGCAGTCTCTCATTTATGGGTGGCAAATGTAAGAGCTCTATCCTGAACTACATCACAGAAATGAGTGGCCCCTTGGTTTACTTCTGTCCATCATACAGAATAATCCAAGGGGAAGACACTGTTAAAAATAAATGTAGCACCAGCAAGATTCAAAGTGTACTTCCTAATGTGTTTGCATATGTGTTCTGGAGGTCAACTGCATATTACAAGAACTGGTGTGCTTTGGCTTTTCAGCCACTGCTGGAACAAAGGCATACATGGAATCCTGACAAATGTTACTGTGGGAATTGTCAAAGCAAAGTTCAGAAATGTTTTCCACTACGTTATGGTGTATCTGCATAGGGCATTGGAGAAAAGCAACCAGAACTGCTGGTTCACTGCATTTTAATGGTTCCCACATTTCTAACTACAAACGTTGCAATGGCCATACCTCACCTTCTGCACTGCGGATGATAATTATTGGGTTGAGTATGGGTGGCACAGCCTACATGGCAAGGAATGATGCTACATGTGTTACATTCTGGCCTTAGGCAGAAGGAGTGGTTTACCTCACACATCCTTTTTAGCACCGAAAGTTAGAGAGAGCTGAATTTCCATTTGCTGATCTGTACTCCAGACACTGCATCTCTGCACTGTACACAGAACACAGAAGAGAATTTGGATGATCAATCTGTGAAGCAACACATGGACAGATAAAGTGCTATAAGACAAAAGATGCAGAGCATATTTGGCTACCTGGAGATGTTACCTTTCAAATACAGAGCAGATGAACAAAACGTTTTAGAAAGGTTTACTAATGATTGGGGAGTTTGACTGTGTGTTCTAATTAAGGTTTGGAACCCACAGATGGGCAAGACAGGAAAGATGGTTTTAATCCCAGTGGAGCACCCAAGTTTTAAACAAATGGTATTTTTATTTTTGCCAAGAGCAGTTTGAAAAACAGCATCCTATAGGGATAGTCTGTCACAGCAAAAGTGAAGTGTTTTGTGGCACTTTAAAGGCTAGAAGATTTACTGTATCATTTTGCTTTCATTGGTCAGAGTTTATGCCTCAGTAAATTGGTTAAATTTTAAGATACCACAGGACTCTTTGTGGTTTGATTTCTCAGAACAGTGATGCCTATTAAGCATGGTGAATGCCATGTGCTTCAAGGGAACATTATAGCTTTGTAGTGTTGGTTGTTCATGCGGGATAGCATCCATGGGCAACTCGAAATGCATGGGTGGAGTCCGTACCACACCCACAAGACCCATGAACATGTATTGAAACTAAAGAGGATGCAGCCTTCTTTGTAGGAACCTTGCAAAGACTGAACTAAGGTAGGTGGGAAAGGCACAAAGGGACAGTGCATGTTCTGTGGGACCCATTCAAAGCCCCTCAATAGCAATACCACTGGCTACCTATTAGATATCAGTGAGAGGAAAGGATGGAAGAAAGGTGGAGGCCCAGACAGACTGGTATAGAAAAGGGACTTGACTGGTAACTGAGCTTTGGTGGTGGTCAAATAGAAAACATAAGCTTGCATCCACAAGTAGCTACTTTCTCCAACACGAACCTATTCTTCAGTTATACAAAGAAGAGGCAACGTGGGCTGATAAAAAGGAGACAATGATGGGTAATAAACTCATTCTGAATAACCTGGAGCAGTTTTGGTTTCTGCTACTCTATGTTTGCCGCCACCTCCAAAAACATGTTCCAAAATTCACCTGCAGACTAGCACTTTGAAATAGGAATGGGGCTAGTAACCTCCCAGTGACAAACCAAGCTAAGACCTTCTTATGGACTAGTAGAACAGCCCTCTCTATGTTGCACCTTCCCCAGCTTTCTTTTCTTCAACTGCCACCCTGGGGGGAGGAGGGAGGAGGGGAATAAATAAATCCACAAGTCACAAAATAGGTGTATCATTAAATTAATACCAGGGGGAGGGGATCTGAAAGCAAGTCTGAGTGGGGGAGGGGGAAGACTCTTGCTCCATTGAATATTGAGGTATCAAAGAAGGCAAGGCAAGACCAAGAGTGGGGAAATCAAGTGCAAGGGGGGCTGCAACCATGGCTGCCCACCCCCATTCTCAGGTCAAGTCTGCTTCTCAGCCATCTAACAGGAGCTTCTGCAGCGGACTTCCTAGAGACACTGGTGGAAGCGTAAAGAGGCTGCACGGCGGGGAGCTGAGCGCCCCTCAGAGCTGCCCTTGTGCTGCTGGTGCTCACCACTTCCCTGTTGGCCCGGAGTGGCCACGCTCCCCAGCATGGACAAGGAAGGCCGAGCTTTGGTGGACTCCAGGCTGCTGAGCCCGGAGTCCTTGTTGTCCCTCAGGGGATCCCTGCTCGAGGAGTCTAGCGGGCAGGCCTCGGTAGCTCCCAAAGCGTTCTGCTCCTTCCACTCATTGTAGTTGAGGTCCTTGAGTCCACCAGGTACCACCACAGTATGGCGCCGCCAGCTGTTCTTCTTGCGCCGTGTCTCAGGTGAGTGTGGCTTGCGCAGGCGCACAGCCAGCATGTCATCAGCTGAGCCGCGGAGGCGGAGGCGCAGCTGTTCCGTGAGGGAAGGCCGAGTGGGGGCCTCCGTGGGCTGCAGTGACTCCTGGCTGCCTGGTGAACTGGAGCTCGGGACCTCAGTGCTGCTCTTGGAGGAGGCAGCCTCACTGTTGCGGCGCGGCCGTGAAAGCTTGCGGCGTGCTAGGGAGTCGCACTGCATGAGGCGGTGAGAGCTGAAGGAGGCTCGGCTGTGGGAGGCTTTGTCGGATGCTGTTGCTCCACCTTCCCCCACCACTGCTGTCCCAGCTTGCCCTGGTACAAAACCATTCTCCGTGTCCGTCTCCACATGGCTAAATTCACTCCGCTCATCATCTGCCTCCTCCCCACGACTCTCTGCTACCGACTGCACTTCAGAGCACAGGCTGCGATCAATGGTGGATAAAGTGGAGTAACCTGACACAATGGAGCGAGCATCTTGTGCCAGTTCTGGGCTTCCCCGGGATGTTGCCGCCTTGTTCTCTTCCAGCTCAGCTTCCAATTTTACAGGGTACTGTGGACCACTCTGCGCATCAGGCATTGGGCCCCTGCTGCTGCTGCTCCTGAGCCCCTCAGCCTCTTTTCCCTCCTCTTCGTCTGCCTCCTCGTCTCTCTTGGCAGCTGACTCATGCTCAGAGTCATCATCCGTGCTGCTCCCGAAACGCTTGGCCTCTCTCCGCTTCTTTCTCTTGCGGTTGACGGCTGAGATGAAGGAGATGGCAAGCATCTCCTTGTGGTAGTGCTCCTTCCGTGAGCCCCATGAAGCCTGCGATAGCATAAAAAGCACCAGAGAGTGTTATAAGAACGTAAGAAAAGCCATGCTGGATCAGACCAAAGGTCCATCCAAACTAGCACTCCATACACATGGTGGCAAACCTGCTGCCCACAGGATCCCTTAAGCAGGGGGGGGTGCAAGATCTCCTCCTGCCCAAGCCCTTCAGCAAATGGTGCAGGCAGGCAGGCATGGTAAAGACAGTAGCACATAGTCATCAAGGCTGGTAGCCATTGATAGCCTCCTCCCTCGTGAACCTGTCCAATCTCCTTTTAAAGCCATCCACTTCCCAAGGCAGCAAATTCCCTCCCTCCACTCTACACTGGAAGAAGTATTTCCTTTTGTATGTCCTAAACTACCCACTAAAAAGCTTCATGGGATGACCTTGTCAGGGTCTTCAACATGGTAGCTATGAGCACCACAATGATCACAAACACCTCCCTGGTCCATCCTTAAAATTAAAAAAAAATACTTGCAGGCTGAGACTGCTGCAAAGTAGTGGCACTCTCCAGTGTCATGTTTAGAAAAAGGAGGATGGCTGCAAATATGAGCCTAGTTGCCCAGAAAGAAAATCAGGGCAGGGGAATATCTCGGTAGCTGGGCATCTTGCAGGGTGGGGGGTGGTGCTGAGTGATCATTTTTGCTCTGGATGCTAGTGCCAGGGGTGAGTGGGGCGAGTAGTAAAGGAGTGCAAACTTTGTCCCTCCCCGTTACATCTGGATGGACTATAAGAACTAAACTACACAAATGATTTCTGGCTTTTGAGAGGCAAAAATTGAGAACTGTACTCAGCCATGACATCCCCATGCCCAACCTCTCCCAAAAAGGTGGAGATGTTGCAGAGTGAACCTTACCTTTGATTTAGCTGAGCCACTGTTGGTCGAATCTGCAGAGGTTAACAAAGAAAAAAAGAGGGCGACCTCAGTTAGGGATGGGGAGGTGGGCTGCCTGGCTGCTACAGCAGACGAACGCTTGCCCTGTGCAATTCACTCCCTTTTGACGGTACTGGCAGTGCAAAGTAGGTGCCAGGAGGACTGACTTTGTCCTATCCCCCAAAGTTCGAATCATAATTTCATCTGATTGCTAAGAGCAAGTCCCAATGGAAGGTTTAATATGCTTGCTCTTTTCCAGATTTTCCTGCCAACATAAGAAGCATCCAAACCAGATCTTTCCATAGACAGGAGAGTGTCCATGTGTGTGTTCAAGTCAACTGCATATCTTGTCCTAAAACTATTAACTCAGCTGCGTCTTAAACTATATGAAACTGCAATACCCCCTTGCCATCCATAAAAAACTTCATTACATAAAGTTAGCTGGCACATTATACATACATGTTTGCTGCGCTATGGAGAGCAATCAGGGACTTAGTCCTCTTGCTTCCCTTTATGCAATCCCATTACAATTTGGCAGAGTCCAATTGAACATGGGTTAGCACCCATGAGGAGTATTCCATGGCAGCAGGGGCAGTGAACAAATCTTTCTTCTCCATCGCCAGTGCATCAGTGTCCTGCCATCCAGCAAAGTTGTTCTGAGTAACAGGTTTGCAGAACGCTTTGTTTCTGAAATCACTTGTATTTGCTCGGACAGATGCCTGATGCAAGTGACCATCCAGTTTCAGTCTGTTTTGCCTGAGGATGTGGATGAAGTGTTTGGAGGACTGTGGTCGAACACCTGCTTCCTTAGACCTGTGCCCATTTGGGCTCATGGGCTGCCAGAAGGGGACTTACTATCGGGTAGTGGTGATTATAAATGCCTTCTTGAGAGAGAGGGAGGTTCCATCTTCTCTGAGGCAGGCCATGCTTATTGGAAAGCTTTCACTGATTCCACCATCCTTTATAATTATTGGCCAGTCTCTTAAACGACAGCTTTAGAGCAAGCTCTTGAAGCAGACAGCAGCATTACAGTTCCAGGTTTTCATGGATGAAATGGATTGTCTGGATTTTTTTCTGTATGGCTCAGCCCTAGTTTGGGGACTTAAATAACCTTGGTTGCCTAGCAGAGTTATCTGTGCTACGAGCTACAGGAGGAGTGTGTCCTTGTTATTTCTGGTGAACCTCTCAGCAGAAGATACCATCAATCATGGTACCATTCTGGGATACCTGGTAAGTATAAATTGTGAAGGAAACACACTGTAGTGCTTCTGATCCTGTCTTCCTGAGCATTCTAGAAGATGCATTTCAAGGAGTATTGTTCATCTCTTTGGACTTGATTTCCTCACATTATAACATCCACACCACTACACTGGGAGAGCACATCCACAATTTTGGGTTTGGTTCTCATCAATATGCTGATGATATTCAGTTCTATCTCTGCTTTCAACTGATGCCAAGGAAGCTATGGAACTGTTGTCTGGGTACAGTGAGGGACTGGATGTGGCTGAATAAACAGCCTCACTCCAAGCAAGGCATAAGTCCTTGCTGATCAACAGACCGGCCACTGCAGGATTGGGAATACAACCTGCATTAGATAGGGTTACACTGCCTCTGAAGGATCAGGTATGCAGCTTGGGGTGTTCCTGGGGTCAGTGCTGCTCCTAAATGGTCAGGTGGTAGTGGTGGCCTGGCCCAGGGAGGGGGTGGCTTTGCCCAACTTCAGCCAGTGAACTTGTGTCTCTTTCTGAGGAAGATGGATCTGGGCACATGCCTTAATCACCAGGCTGTTCATGGAAAGCCCCTGAAAAGTATTTTGAAAATATAGCTTGTGCGAAGCACAGAGGCCAGACTTTTGTCTGGTGTGTGTTTTATATACCATGTTTTAACGCCAAATCTCGAAACAGCTTCACATGCTTCCTGTTTGTTTCTTGAATTGTTTCCAATTCAAGGTGGGAGTTCTCATCTATAAAGCCATAAGCAATGTGTAGCTTGGGTTCAAATACATGAGAAACTGCCCCCTCCTGTATGCACCTGCTTGAAACATACATTCTTCATCTAAGGTTTTGTTGCATGTCTCACCTGCTGGAGAGGAGAGAGGAATTTGATGGGAATTTGTGTAGCAGCAGCCCAGCTGTTGACTCCTTTGACAGGGCAGTTAGGCTGAATCCGTCTTTGTTGGCCTTTGGATGACTGGTAAAAACTATGCTGTTCCACCCAGCTTTTAATGATTCATAATGTTCTTTGATTTTAAAAATTTTCCCTCTTTGATTTTACAAAGTTTTATTGAAGAAGAAGAATCTTAAGTATTTTATCAACTTTGTTTGGAATGGTTGCATTCTATTGTTTTTATGAATTTATTGTAAATCACCTTGCACACTCATTTATGGAGGGGTGATTCAGAAATATATTAAACAAACAACCCGCACTGTGGAGCTTGTCTTTATTTATGCTTCTGTTGTCAATGGGAAATGAAAAGTTGTTTGCATCCCCTGAAAGTGTTCCATGGAAAAGTGCCCTCTTTGCAAACTGAAATAAATATTAGTTATTCTAAATTCAGGGGCTCTTTTGACACATCCCTTTTTCTCAATTGATTAGCACAGGTGCATCACTGTTGTTGGGCATAATGGTTTTAAAAAGAACTGACTGAATCAAGTTAGATATGAAGACTGCAGCTCTGTGCATAATACAAAGAATTCTTTTTGCCCTTACTCAAAAGACGTAAGATCAAAGAGTTTACAAACAAGTTGGGCTGGGGGGAAGGAGATCCTTCTTATTAAACAGTTCAAAGAAACATTCCTCTGACTGACTACAAAGACATCACCCTGGACCACAAGACATGGCTTGAAATTCACAAATAAAATTCACTGCATTTCATATTTGTATAACTCAAAAAATTAACACACCAAACAAAGGAGGAAAAAGAAAGTCATGAACAGAGAATTCACCAAGCACCCAGAACACATGCAATACCCTAAATGATTGAAAGGGCAAGACTTCGATGCTGGTAACCCCTTCTGAGCCCTGGCACATTTATTCATGTGAAAACAACAATGCTGCCAGGAAGGTTAGTGGAAAAATAGCCAGGAAAGTTTAATGAAGGACTTGCAGGACAGTGCAACAGAAGGGTGAATGCAGTGGAACATCTGTTGAACTGAGGCCTAACCCATTGAAAGGTGGTCTATTTATTACATTTCTATAGCTGAGTCTCTCTGGGCAGCTCACAACAGTCAGAAAAACATTTAAAAACATAAAACACAATATAAAAACTCAAAACTGCAGTATAAATAGAAGTATAGTCCTACAAACAACATAGCAGGAAAGCAGTTTCCTTAATGAAGCGTAAAGGGATATCAAATTCCAGAAAGAATATGCTGGGGTTCCAGGCAGAGAAGGAAGATGCAAGCCAGTCTTGTACAATGAATGATGCACTAAAAGCAAACACAGCCCAACAGTCAGGGACAGAGGCCCTACATGGGCCTGATGAGCTGCCCACTTGCTCCTGCCCACCTGGAACTGTAACACTAGAGGGACTGTCAAGCTCCTGGCATGTCATTATTTGTGGCTGATCAGCTGAATCTGGCTTGATGAACTCTGCAGGCCTCCTATGGGGTCAACAGATTCCATACAAAAATGCTTCTGAAGGACGGAAGGAGTGTAGAGTCTGTAAAAATATAATTCTCTTTCTTTGAGAGCAGGGTTGGGAAGAAGGCAGACCCCCAGATGTTTTGGAATTCAGTTCCTAGAAGCCCCTGACAGTTTGGCCAATGGTCAGGAATGCTGGAAGCTGAAGTCCAAAACATCTGGAGATCTATTTTTTCTCCATCAGCAATTGCTTAACAACAGCCTGTAGGCCACAAATGTTCAGCTTTGTGCTTTCAGGTCCTGTCTCCACACCTACCACAATGAAACTATAGAAAAATAAGAAAATGCTGGCATTCTCAAAGCAAATTGTGATGAATGCTGGATTGTTTTACTCAACTATATTGAATGGGATACCTGAAAGGAAAAGAGAGGCCCTACTAGATTTACATCAGCTCTGACTGGACTAACAAGAGTAGTCTCAGCATTGCATTTGTTCTTTTTTACATTGCTTATTCGATGCAGTTGCATTGAAATGTAGAAGAAAACGAGATTCAATTCAGAACCTGTCCAAGCAGCAATGCAGCTTGGGCAGGGATAGTCTTGCTTCTGTTTATCTGTGCACTGTACATCAGTTACTCCAAAACAGGACACAATCACATCACTACAGGGCTTTGTTACCTGCCCTCGCTTGCAGTCCATTTCTGTGATCAATTCTACATTCTGGTTTCAACTTTTAAAACTCTTAGCACAACCTTTCCTAGACTGGCCAGGGACAAGCTGGCTGGAAATTATGGGAGTTGGACTCCAACATATCTGGGGAGCACCAGGTGAAGGAAGGCAGCCTAAGCAGCTTGGGGACCATACTGTCTGAAGGAAGGCTTCCTGCCACAAATACCTACCCAGGCCTTGATATAAAGAAACTATATTTTTTAAAACTGTTAAATTGATTTACACATTATTTATGTTGTTTGAGGGTTTGAGATTGTGGCTTTTATTTTCTGCTGCTGGAATCAGATGCTACATCATATATTCATGTTCTTCTGATTTATAACTGTATTTGATTGTTACTGTAAGCTACCCAGAGAACTTAATCATTGGGCGGCAGACAAATATAGCTTATAAATACATCAGTGAATAAAACAAAATGACAGCCCACAAAGAACAAGCAAGTGCATTGCAACAAAAACATAAAAGCCAGTGCTTTGAGGATTCTCTCCTACAGGGAACCATGCCTTGCATCTCACATCACCACTGACAAACTGGTGCTCAGGCCCAATGTTCCAAATAATGTAGACTCCCCAAAGGTCCAGTGGCAAACAGGCCAGGTGTCCATCCCTACGCTAGCATGGGTATACTGCACCTGATGCTAATTGCTGAAGCCTCTTTCCTTTCTTCCTTCCTTTTTTCCATTAAGGGGCACCTGGTACCTTGTACATGGTTACAGATGCTCATTTTAATATTTTTATGTTAAAGAGAGATTAGCTTTTTGACAATAAAAGGTGCTTACTCCAAACTCAATTTATTTGGCATCAGGGCTGCACAAACAAGCTCTATTTTATTCCTGTAGTCAAAATGGATGAGTTTAGAATGTGAAACTGCAAGTGATCAGAGTATTTCTTTCTATTAATCGGGGCTTGCAAACTTAACTTTTGCTTTTTGGTCTAATGTTTCAGTAGAAGCACTTGTAAAACATAGAAGTGCAGTGGCAGGCAGAGAAGGTACACATTCACTGTATATACTTCACAAGTGAAATAATATAAACCTGATCATCTAGTGTACCCCAGTAAGACCAGTAAAGGCAATTTTATAGACAAAAGGTTTAGACAAAAAAGGCCTATAATTCCCAGCACATCCCTGTCAGCTATTCTCGATGACATTCCTCTGGTTAAAATGCATAGAATTGTACCCTAAATCGAGGATCTAAAATTCCTAGCCGCATCACTGCAAACAGCCATAAACATACACAAAAGCAAGACGGAAGAGTTTAGAGCAAGCTCAGAAAAGGACACTGGCTTCTATGTCCAGGTTAGTTTACTGCAGCATTCAGAGAACCATGCCAAAAAGAACAGCAGATGCAGCCCAGATGTCTAGTGGGTAATAAAGTCCACATCATGGTAACATGGGCCTGCTCATATGCTGCTCAGTTTTAACAAGGTCAAAAGCCAGACCAGATATAGTCAGCAAAAAGAAAGCAGTGGGCAAAGAGAGCAAGGCCCAAAGCAGAGACAGATACTGGCAAACCTAAAAGGGGCAACCACACAGGTGGTAGCCAAAGCTGGAAGCTACAAGAAGTGAGGCAGGTGTTAATGATTACCTTACATGTGGAGGAATGGGGTACAGTACCAGCAAGGCTATTTATACAATTTCCCGCACCCAACACACAAACACAAAATTGGCCACAGCAACGTCAGCAACCATGAAACCAATGGACAATAACATGGATGGCCCCCAAGCTCTGCTTCGTCTAAATTCCCCTTGCCCATGTGGAATTAGTAGCTGGTGAGAACGAGAGTGAGGAAAGGCAGGAAGGCCAGTGGGGAAAAAATGCTTCAGGCATCTAGGCAGCAACATCACATTTAGGGGATAGAAAATTCGTTTGCTTGGTAGGAAATCAGATACAAACAGTTAATTATTTTCATTGGGGTGGGGGTGGAATCTATGCAGGTTTTCCGGTGACAAAGAACTCTTCAACAGGCAGCAAAGAAAGACAACTAACTCTCAGTCTCTAAAAATTGTATTGGTCACACACATAGTACAAGTATTTGGTTTGTACGTATCACTGGAACTTTATAACAATTTTGCAGAACAACCTTACCCCATGTTTGCATTTGATAATGTTGTTTTTATTTTATACCACTCAGTGGCTCTTACAGTGGAATCCTATAATACATGTCTACTTAGAAGTAGGCGTCACTGAGTTCAGTGGGACTCACTTCCAAGTAAGTACATATCAAATTGCAGTATTAGGCTGCTATCATAAGCATACATACTTAGAAGTAAATTCCATGAAACCTGTAGTTCATCATTACAAGTAAGCTGCAGGTAAGCTTGGCCTGCAAATATTTCAGTTACTGTTTTATTAATGTAACCTGTGTTGTGTATTTGACTAGAAAAGTGATAGAAATTATTTTAAAAGGAAAAATAAACTAATTTTTTTTTTTAGTATATCTGAGTTGCCTTGATGAGATAAAAACCCAATTCTTCAAGGAACACACAACCAACCTGAAACAATGAGCTCATTGAACAAGTTGTTTCAAAGTTACACATGGTTGTCAAAGATAAGAATCAGCTACCTTTCATTTTGCCCAAGAAGAGTTCTCATTTGTTTGGGTTTAAACGAATTTGGGGGCCCTGAATTGCCACAATTCATTGTGCACAACTGCCTTTAATTGAATTTTTCCAGGGACTTTGAGAGGCAGTTCACATGTCCATTAATAAATAAAGCAGCCATAGCTTCTACTCCTAATTTTAGGAGAAAGGAGCTCAAGGAAGGGGCAAACCCACCCTGGGTGTCTTCCTTAGAGCAAAAGCAACAGCTGTTGCTGGTCATCATGGAAAGACCGGAAGGGGACCAGACCTCATGTCCTGCCATCCTGCCTGCCTCTCTCATAATCACCCATGAATTAATGCATGAACACCAGAGCACAACCACACTGTACCAGCTCTAGAGCTCCGGCAGATCCACTGGAGGAGAGGAGGAAGAGGAGGTGGAGGAGGAGGAACAGGAGAGGAACAGGAAAAGGAAGATGAGGAGAGAGGAGGAAGAAAGAAGACAGCAAAAAAGTTAAGGACGTCTCTAAATGGTAGAGGGACGAAAAAAAGAAAACCTCAAACAAAGCACAGCTCCCCATCAATATCTGCAACTCCAAGTAGAGCACAGAAGTACCACTACCCCTCCAAATAGCAGAAAACAGGTTTTTACTCTGGGAAGTTAAATGGTGCTCAAGTTGCTTTTTCTAGAATGTGCTATTACATTGGAATGGTGGGAATGAGAAGCACCTTACTGGTAGCAGTGCAACCAAGCAAAACTCCAGAGCAGACCAGGTTATGGGGGTGGAAAGGAGACATCCTTGGTGCTCATTGCCCAGCCATGAAATTCTCTCTCACACACTGGAGAATTAGCCAAACCTAAACATGTTTCAGAAGCAGGAAGAGCTTCTGTGTTACAGCCTTTGGCATAATGCGGTGGATGAGAAGAACATCAAGGATGGGAAGTTGGGCAGCTCAGTTACAGGAAGCTAAACAAAGTTCACATACACATGGAAAGCTAAAGATTGTCAAAGCTAGGGTCGTGCATGTTTGAGAGGAGAAAGCAGTGTGTGAGAGGAGCTATGACTTCCTTCTCTCCTTTCTTTAAACAAGGGACTAACTAAGGGAGAAAATTCTGACAGAAAGACAAAGTCACAAAAAACCAAATCAGAACTGTACAGTGGGAATTCAATGGCTATAAACTAACCCCTGGTGGCCACCATCCAATCCAAGGCTCCCTGCCCACTCACCTGAAGTATCTCCCAGTGCAGTTGTCCTCCCAATGTTGGGCAGAAGGTATTCAATATTTGGCACTGATTGGCTCTCCTGATCATCTACAGGTGTCTGTGAAGTGGATGCAGAGGTAGTTAGAAGGAAGAAGTGTGGGCCCATCTACACTCCAGCACCACCATGTCCCTGGCTCTGGCAGATCCTGCTATCCCAGAGGATGTAGTGCTGGGTGAGACCTAAAAATCACTTGATTTTGAATTAGGGAATGCATCCGTCACATAGTCAAATAAGGAAGAAAAGGATACTTCTCTGCATCAGAATGTTATGGACTGCACAAAGCTAAGCCACCCCTTCCTGAATAATGGTTACTGAAGTAGAGTCACAATATGTTTTTTGCAGCCAAATGTGGTTTGAGAGAAGAACATGATCACACTTCATGCTATAGGTATATAAATTCAACATTCACCTCTTATAAACAGGCATTGCAGATTTTTTGTATTGTTTCAGAAATTTGTTTGACCAGAGGTGAAAGTGGAATGGGCCTAAGTAAATCTGGGATATCAATGGAGTAAAATAAGCGATTGTGACTGAGTGTGTGTATGAACATCCTGGAAGGCAAAAATTCTCTCAAAGCAGTTCCACATCTCCTAGCAACCATTATCTGTCCCCTTATCTGTATAAATGCATCTGCAATCATCCTGTTTTAATGAAAGGCTAGTCACAAGTTTGTCCTCTTGACAATCAACAGTTATCAGCATAAAAGGCACCTCTACACCATGTCTAGAAAAGAAGGTACTGTAACCTTGCATTTCACTGTATCCTAGGACCAGAAGCCACAACAACTTGCGCATTTCCTCCTCCTCTGTGACTCACCTTTTCACCTTTATCCTCCTTGTCACTGAAAAACCAGTCTGACTGTGGAATGAAAAGAGAGAAAATTCAAAACCAGAGAAAAGGTGCTAATGCCAACCCCTTCAACCAAAAAGCAGTATCTAAGACGCCAAGGGTTAAGCTAAGAAATAAGACTTAAAAGGAAGTTATGGCAGATTCTTCATCCAAGCCCAGATTCCTCCTGGCTTTTCCATTTTCTTCCTGGCTTGTACAACAGATGGACATTAGATAAGCCATCAAACTGGCCCTTGTCTCCCATGCTTTGAGTGGGCAGCTAGCCTATTGCCATTTCAAAGGGCCCTATATATGGCTTTACCACTCACAAAAACATGTGCCCTTGTTTTTTTTGTTTGTTTCTTTAAAAACGGCAATAAAACAAACATTTTTGCAAAATCACTGCAAAATGACTCTGAGGATTTTGAAAACAGTATTTATTTGTCGCAACCTGAACATTAGTCAATTTTGCAGAATTACCCACAACACTTTATCCGCAGAGGAGAAAAGGTGTACATAGTTTAAACTCAGTGAGGGTGCTGCCAATCTAACTTGAATGCTCTACAAATACTATATGTGTCATCTTCACCCCAAGAAAAGCTCGTGTTTGCTTAGTAATTGGTGACAGGACCAGTGCCCCCTGTACTTCATTTTAGACCAGATATTCAAGAGTTAATTCAGCATTATGGCTATAAGACTAAGCTGTGAATTATTACATCTGAAATAATTAGTGATGCTGGTGGAGTTCAAAAACATGAGCGCTGAGGCAGAACCAAATGTATTCCAAGGTGAGTTCTCTTAACCCTTTCTAGGACTGGGATGCGCCTTTTTCAGAATCCATCCCTCCAGCATCCATGGACTTCCCCTTAGCCCAGTCCTGCAAAGAGAGGAAGTCCACAAACACTGGAGCCTCGGTTGTGCAACCAACATTACCTTTCCTGTCATTTGGAGCCACCCAAAGAGCAGCAGCAGGATGCAGAAGAGGGGCACTGCTAATGGCTGCTCCTGGTACCATGCCGAGCGAGCCCAACAACTAACCTTCCACCACGCTGGTGGTGTCAGCAGCCTCAGCCCCGGACATGAAAAAGGGCTGCTGCCTGCACATTGCATGGGGCTCAACTCCTGGCAAGCACCCCGGGAACATGGGGAGTGTTCAGGGCTTCTGCAAAGCAGACTGGAGTTAATCTCAATGGATCCCACCTCCAAATGGGTTCCTTGCACATCCCTAACACTGACAATGCTCTCTTGCTTCCATTCCCTTGCAAAACACTGCCTGTTTGTGTGCTAAGATTGTCCTTTTACAGTCTGCATGTCTAGGCACTCAGAATAGCAACTGCAGTTTGACTCATGTTCCCTGATCGCTAAAACTGATTTGAACCTTTTCAAATGTGTAAGGAATTTAAAGAACAGGAATTCTGGACTCCTGTGTCCTGACTCAAGATACCCAATGGCCTGAATTTCTGGGTTGTAAAAGTTCACGAGCCACAAGGATGGAGCATGCATCATAGAAATATGTTAGTTAGAAAACCAAATCACGCCACCAGCTGCAGGAAAGATGACAATTGGCAGGTGCCAAGCAAGGAATTATGGCACATGATTTATGAGGATGGAAAGTGAATGCCTCACGGTTGCCTAGGCAACATAATTTCTTTCCTGCGCCTGCAGTCTTCAAGAGGCAATAGTAACTTAGGCAAAAAAACAGGAATCCTTTTTAAAATTCCATTTTTCAAGTGTTGTCACTTCATAAGGATATAAGAGAAGTTGTGCTGAATCAAATGAAAGGCCTCTCCAAGCCAGCACTGAGCCAACAGGGTGGGCAGTAGATGCTCCCATGGGAAGTCCCCAAGCAGGACAGAAGCATACGTTAGCACCCTCCTGCCCAGCGACTGGAGTTCCCTCTGATCCTGGGGATAATACTGATTGCCATCCTGACTAGTAACAATCATCCTTTTAACTGATCAGCCAGCTGAGATTAAAGATGAGGGAAGTCTACACATCATTAAATACTGTTTGAGAACTGAGCTCCAGTTGGAGTTCAGCAAGACTGCAATATTCTGCTAAATGCCATCCTGTCTTTGACGTTCAGTTCTATCAGTATTATGGGTGCCTCTGCAGGGTAATAAATGACTTCCAATGTTAACTCTTTTGTTGCCATCCTAAGTGAAAATAGTATTCTTCCCACTCTTGCTGCTTTCCTTGGAGGTGAATTCTCTTTTAAGCATTTTAGAAGGATATTACAGAAATGATCCAAGCTATATTAACAACTCATTACAATTTGCTCCCATGGGGGCATCATGGGCTTATTGGAAAGAGTTGTAAGTCGAAGAGAGAAAGAGAGAATTAGTTTAAAATGGATTAGTGACTACAGAGAACTAGAACTGCAAACACAAAGAGATCAGCAGTATCCACTGCTGCGTTGTTGGTTAAGATATGATATATTCCTTATATCTTTCCTTCTTATATGGTTAAGCTGACATACCTCATTGAATTTAAAGATTCTGACTGATGGGAACAATGGCAAAAATGAAAACAAAACAAATTCCAAAACATGAAAAAATGTGTTTTCTATTTTAAAATTAATTTTTCAATTTTCCCATGCATTTCTTTGCAAAAATAATAACCAGAGTCTTTAGTGACTCCATTTCTGTACTGTTCAATAGCCAGAGCACTCTTGGCAGTTAACTAAGTAAAATCAAGAGCACTGGTCAACGACATGAAAGAAGGAAAACGCTGGGAGATTAAGGCCTTGAACTGGTTCTGAAAAGATCAAAACTGGTGCCATATAAGTCTCTGCGGGGGAGGCATTCCAAAACTGAAGTGCCACCATTGAAAAGGCCTTGTCCCTAGTGGCCTCCCTCCTCAATGCATTTCACCAAATAATAGAGTAGGAAGGGTTAAATAAGGCCATCAGGTCCAACCACTGGCTCAGGACTCCAAATTAACGCATTTGTTGGGACACCTGGAAAAGGACTTCAAAGGAATCCTCAGAAGATAACCTGCGTTCTTTACCATCAACATGCAGGTCCAACCTTCTACCAGCTGCCCTCCAGATCTGCATTTTCCCACAAGCACCTCTCTGTCCCTTACATGCTGTATGAGGGTTTCCACGATTTTGTAGCGGTCAGGCATATGGGTCACCATGTCTGTCATGTTGTCCTCCGATGTTCTGACAAGGGTGGGACCAAACACCAAAGCAAGATTCCGGGGTTCCATCTGCAAAGCAAACCAATGAGTTTTGTTTCTCTATCCTGACACTGACAAGTTATGGGACTGTCTCCCACCCATATCTCAGCTTTGGGCCAGAATAAAGCACTCATGTGATTATAAAATATTAACAGTTCTAAATCAAACAGAGAGCACTACATGGGTAAAGCTGGTTCTCCACCTTAGATATGTGGCCAAAATATGTGGAAGGTAATTAGGTGGAACGGAGCTAGAGGGATTTAGAATGTCCCAGCAAGGCTTAAGCTATTATTACATATCACTGCATGTGGCACTTCACATGGAGTTCTACAAGCAAAATAAAACAAGTATCTGCCCCTGTGGATTTTACAAACTAAATTAAGCTATGTTTCATCCGGGGATTGGAAGGAGAAGAATTCAACTGCAGTGAATGCCCAGGATGAAGACAGTTAAGCTAAAGCTACAGCATACTGCATAGGTGCAACGCAGTGCAGTGACTAGGGTATCCTATTTACAAGAGACAAATTCAGATTGAAGTGAGTGATTTATTCATAGATATATGAATCTAGGTGGCAAATGAACAGAAAAAAGAAGGGGAGATGTGCCTTCCTCAGCTAGAAACGCATATTGCAAGAAACTGAAAAATGGAACAGTTTTAATACTTATTTTTTATAAAGGTTGCAGGGGATTCATTTACTGACCTACTGGAACTAATTATATGCCAAGTCAATTGATCAGTTCTTTATCTTTGTGTTAAACTGTATTTACTTTTTCATAAAATACCCTAGTATTTTTACCTTGCTTGTATTACTTTATGAAAGCAATTTTCATGAGGAAAACTGCCACACAGGTAAAAATGAGAGACCGAACATGTATAGCAAATAATGTGCCATCTTGGGCACACCAAGTAAAAGCAATTTCTGGCCCAAAGCCATGGGAGGGTGATCACCAGCCAGATGCATACAGGTAAGCGCCGCTGGCACTGGGCTGGGAGATGTCTGATGCACACAAGGCAGGGTGAGAGGGAAAACAGCACTGCTGGGTCTTCTGCTCAGCCCTCCACTTCCATTCACAAGGCAGCTGTACGCACCCAGATAGTGAGGGAAGATCCGTGGGGTGGATTGTGCTCTTAACTGTTTGTAATTTATATAGGTTTTCAACAATATACTTCCATGCAGCTTCCATATAGCCAAAAGCGCTGATCTTAGAGGCTAAGCAGGTTTGGGCCTGGTTGGAATCTGGATGGGTGCCTTAAATGGTGTGAACTGCCCAGAGAGCTTTGGCTATGGGCAGTATAGAAATGTTGTAGTGGCAGCGGCAGCGGCAGCAGCTACTGCTATTTTTATATTATTATTATTATTATTATTATTATTATTATTATTATTATTATTATTATTATTATTGGAGGGACAAGATATTAACTATTTTAAAAGGTAAAACAAAAATGGATAAAATGAATCAGATCAGAATGTTTCAAAGATGAGCTTGGAGTAATCTGAAGAACTTCTGTCCTTCTCCTCCTTCCCCTTTGCAAGTCAGCTGCATGAGTATTAGATGAACTAGAGGAACAGCTGGATATCTGGATGCACCTCCCACACCCAACTGGATGAATTTCTTTGCAGTGGGAGCAGAGCATGACATGACATAAGATAGGACCAAGCTGAGGTTCTTCAGAGCTCCATCCAGGTAGTAAGTAAAAACCAGGACATGTCTACGCTACACACTTAAATCAAGCCTGCTTGTTACGCATCCCATCCAAGAAACCTGGCAACCACAGTCCTGGAAAGAAACTAACTGCAATCAGAAGCAGCCCCTATTCTATCCATTTGGTTTCACTGTCAATTATGTGATTATAGGATTGCAGCCTAAGAGCCTCTGACAAGAAAGCTACAGTTCCTGTGGTTCACATGCAGAAGCCATGCCAATTAAACCATTTTCCAAATTATTTTGAAAGCAGTCTTCCCCAACCTCATGCTCTTCAGCTTTATTGGAATACAAGCCCCATCATCCCTAGTTACATTTCTTCCACCTAGTATAAAGCACAGCATTAACTCATCCCCAAAAATAGCTGAAGGTGAGCCCTCCACATTGGAACTCAACATTGCATTCACTTCTATATAAAGTAGCAATCTTTTTTTGGGGTCCCCATTTATTACCTTATTCTTTTCGGAATGATCTGCAATTGTCTTGAGATGTCCCACCAGAAACTTCAGTGTCTCATAATAATGGCCTGGCAAATCCCGGATCTGAAGTAGAGATTAAGAAAAAACCAGTTATGACTGATTAGATCTGCCTTTCATACAAGCTGGAAAGTTCCTCCAATCTGTACTGTTGTATTTCTTCATAATGTCTGCTTTTAAAAATTGACACATTAACTGTCTCACAAAGAATGCAGTAGAAGTATACTTGAATGTGAGAAACTTCTGAATTCTATTCTCCCTCAGGGAGATAAGAGCTCTGTGAAACTCAAGGCTTATAGACTCCAAAGATACACTTCAATACAGCAATATCCATGTACTGAACACTTAACATTTAAAAGAGCTGTACTGAGAGAAACTGGGCATGTTAACAGTGCTTGGTTGCATTGGCTGGATGAGAGCTAATTAACTGAAGCTGAATCCTGGCAGGTCAGGGAAACTATGGTGGGGGAACGGGGGATAACTAGGTCTGGAAATTGGGATGTTCACCAGTTCCGGAAAGGGTTGAACTCCCTCTGAAGAAATAGGCAGGTGGTCTGGGGAAGCTCCTGCTGGAGGCTCAGGTAACCTTAGTGGCTTAGAGCACCTATGCTAGAACGCTCAACGGTGTACCTGGACATACACTTTTTGCGCCCATGTTAAAAGAGCTGCACTGGCTATGTATTAGCTACTGAGCCATGTTTCAAGTTTTTGCTGCTGACACACAAAGCCCTAAATGGCTTGGGACCAGGACACTTAGCTGACCATCTTCAGCTCTCAAGATCCTGAGGTGCCCTTACTGGTCATTCCATTGCCAATGGAATGTCACTTGGTAATAAGTGAGCTTTCTCAATGGCAGCCCCCACCCTTTGGAACATTCTCTCATATATGCCTGAGAGACAGAAACCAGTGATCAGCTTTAAACACCTCTTGAAAACACACTTATACTGGTATCACACTTATATATACTGGTATATTTATATACCAGTATATACTTATATATACTGGTATCACACTTATACTGGACCATGGTATCCTTCTGGATAGACTTGTGGGATTGGGGGTTGGAGGCACTGCTTTGCAGTGGTTCCGCTCCTATCTCAACGGTCGATTCCAGAAGGTAGTGCTGGGGGACCATGTCTCTACGTCATGGCAGCTATGCCATGGGGTACCACAGGGCTCCATTCTATCCCCTCTGCTATTTAACATCTATATGAAACTGCTGGGAGAGGTCATCAGGAGGTGTGGGCTGCGGAATCATCAATACGCTGATGATACCCAGCTTTACCTCTCATTCTCCACTAATCCAGGTGAGGCAGTGGCTGTGCTGAACCAGTGCTTGGCCGAGGTAAGGGAATGGATGAGGGCCAATAAACTGAAACTCAACCCAGACAAGACGGAGGTCCTGTTGGTTGGCGGATCGGGTTTCGGAGAGGGTGGATTTGACCTGGTCCTGAATGGTGCAACACTCCCTCTTAGGGATAAGGTCCACAGCTTAGGAGTACTCCTCGACCCGGAGCTTTCTTTGGAAGCTCAGGTGACAGCAGTAGCGAGGAACGCCTTCCTTCAGCTTCGGCTGATTAATCAGCTGCGCCCCTACCTGGAGTACGACTGCCTAGCGACAGTGACACACGCGCTGGTGACTTCCCGCCTAGACTTCTGTAATGCGCTTTACGTGGGGCTTCCCCTGAAGACAGTCCGAACACTTCAATTGGTGCAAAATAGAGCTGCCAGGTTGCTGACGGGGATGGGGCGTTATGCTCACATGACTCCAGTCCTCCGTCAGCTTCACTGGCTTCCCATTGAAGCCCGGGCCCAATTCAAGGTGTTGATTATGACCTACAAAGCCCTAAACGGCTTGGGTCCTGGCTACCTGAACGAGCGCTTACGTCCGTATATGCCCGACCGCCCTTTGAGATCTGCGGGAGAGTTCCTTCTCCGGGAACCCTCCATGAAAGAAATTAGGAGAGTAAGTACCCGGAGGAGGGCTTTCTCTGCGGTGGCGCCCAACCTATGGAATTCACTCCCCAAAGAGGTCCGCCTGGCACCGTCGTTACTGGTTTTTCGGCGCCAGGTAAAGACCTTTTTATTTAAACATCATTTCAATTGTTAAAACATATGATCTGGCCAGGGCAACTTCTTCTTCCTTCTCTTTCTCCTCCTATATTTTTATTTTATACTGATAATTTTAATTTTATTTTTGTAAATCAATGTATTCTTTGTATTTTTATATTTAATGGTAATTTATTATGTACTATTGTAGTTCAATGTATTTTATCATGTTGTAAGCCGCCCCGAGGTTTCGGCAAGGGGCGGCATAGAAATGCTATAACAATAATAAATAATAATAATAATATATACTGGCTTTCTCTGACCTGCAAGGGTTTGCTACCACCCTGTTCTATTGTTATGATGGTGTCATGTTTTTAAATGTTCCTAACCATTTATTACTTTCATCTTGTTATATTTAATGTAAATCACTTAGAGATTTTAGTATATTAAGCAGTGTAGAAGTATTGTAAATATGTAATTTTTTCACAGGAGCCTTGAGAAGCAGATCAGTAATGCGTCCCCCCCGGTACCTTTCCCTAGAGCATGAGCTGGGAACCTTACATGCTCCAGACCCCAAAGGGGCACAGGTTCTCTGGCCTATCCTAGGGGAGTGATGTCTCTCTCTTTGTGCTGCACAGCAATAATCAGATAAAGTAACATCCCCACCCTCAATGCTGATAGATGGGAGCAAGTCTAGTGTGGCTGCCAGGAGGAATGCAACATGTGCCCAAGCACTGAAGAGGGCAAAGTGCTGAGCCTCCAAGACAGAGCCAGAACTATTGACAGACCAGTCAAAGTTGGCCAAACTGGGGTGTTGGCAGGAGGGAGACGTGCCTGGCAACGACATTGTGACATGCACAACAACGGAAGAACCAGGATGTCAGACTAGATGGCCCGGGAGACCCCTTCTGACTCGCTCTGTTTTCTATGTTTCTATGTGGTTCTGCAGCAAAAAAGGGTTACAAACCCCAGTGCTACCTGTTACAAGAGTCATTAATATGGTGTATTCTCTATTTGTACTGACTGGTTATAGCTACTATTGCACAAATTGCATATTTGCCTGTTTTTCCTTTCTATTGCTTCAAAGTTAATTGTTTTAATAAAAATGTCATCCTGCAATTGTAGGGTACATTCCCTTCCATATTCAACCCTACCCCAATCGCTACCATTGGAGTAATAGCCATGTTCCTTCTCTTCCTTATTTGGCATTAAGAGATTTTTGGCTCTACATGCAGTGCTATACAAGTTCCCTCTGGCCTTTGTTTTAGATTTCACCATCTACCCAACACTCGGTCTCTCCTGCACTTGGGCTTTTTTCTCTGCTCTCATCATGAATATGGATTTATGTGTGGGTGGATGGATGAGAATGCCAGAGGTGGTAGTGGTAGGTGTGTACAGAAGCATGTTGCACATGCGCACTCCTGTGCTTGTACATGTGCTTGGGTGAATGGACTGTATATGTGTGAATGGATGGCATGTGCACATATGCATATGGCCCTTTGGACCTCCCCATGTTTGGCTTTGGTCTGTGTGGGAGAATACCCACAAGGAAGTGAGGTGCTGTGGTTGAAAATGAATCCCCAGATCTTTTTAAAGATAACTTTAGCAGACAGCAGAGTATCTGCTAAAGCCAGACTCAGGATCTGTACATGGTGGATTGTTTTTAACAGACTCCTCATCCAAGGAATTCTGTTGGTTTAATATAATATAAAGTAAGGTAAAAATGCTTAAGATTATAAAGGAATGAGATGTTTCTTATTTATACCTATGTTTAAATGAAGTAATGAGGTATGTTTGGAGATAACTTTAAAAAATTGATCTGCTTTATGACAGTTCTGAAGCTGGTGCTCTGAAAGAGAAAATGCCATTTTTGCATAGTTTCTGTACTTTTAATTATATTTTTGGAGCTTTTTAATTGGACAGATTTTGTGGGCTTCACTGTATCATTCCATTGATGTTGACTTCAGTGTGTTAAAATGTGAAGATTTTTATAGCTGGATTGATGCTGTACATTAGATAGCTGGTGTGTTGTATTTAATAGGTGCAGCTAAACTCTTATCTGGTTGTAAGAGTGCTGGTTGTTCAACTGCAGTGCTTAAGGCTTTCCTTCCTCTCCATTCCTTTGCTGGAGCCTCCCCTTCTCTTCCATCTTGTCTTCTCTACTTCAAATCCTAGCATTTACGTCTGTAGAACAAAACCCTTATTGTCCTTTAATTCTTGTAAATGGAGTTAAAAGCTCAAACATGGAGTTCTTAATTTCACCTTGAGCATTTGTGCCATCACCATGTTAACATGCAGGCATGCAGGATGCTCCCTGATATTGAGTCAAACCATTGTTCTATCTGGTTCTGTACTGACTTTCTCAACCCTCCAAGGAGACCATGGATTCAACTTGTAACCTTCTGCGTGCAAAGCAGTGGCTCTATCATACTAAGCCATGGACCTTCCTCTCAAAGGTCTGTGCCACAAGGCAAAGAGCAGAGGCATGACGGAGAAACCATTAATTCCCGAGACACTTCTCTTCCCAAAATACATACCAGTTTGCGCAAAGTCTTCATCCTTTCGCTGGGATCCTCAATCCGGTTGGCTTCAATAAAGTCATTGTATTTATCTGTATGTTTTTCAAAAAGCATATCTGTAATTAGTGATATTATCTGACCTCAGGAAATTGAGTCACACGGAAGGGCATATGATGGGTTCAAAACTATGGGCTTTGGATGAAAGGTAACTCCTGAAATATACTTTGCAAAGCTAGAAATTAGTGAAAGTGAAGGTGGGGCTCTTAGAAGGTCCTTTCCAGATGTAATTATAGTCATGACAATATGGAGGAACACTTTCACTTGGGAAGTGCATGTCCTGGTGTATCTCTAGCACATTCACTTTAAAGCTATACATTGAGAAGGCTCATAGCTCCCGCTGACTCACATCTCTCTAGTAACAGCTAGTGAAATACAATACATTTTAATGCCCTTACAGCTGACAGCCTGTGAAATGGAAGGGAGAACAGGGAGGAAATACTGAGCTTCATGCTTCCACATTGTAGGTCTTTTTTCCTAGACATTGGTGGGAAGAGATCATCAAAAACATGGACAGAATGGAGCCTTGCCCTTCTCATAACACTTTGCCTGGGTCTCAACATCTGGACAAAAAACAGTCAAGACAAGGAACCACCAAAATTTTGCTTAAAATGAGGAATACCACCCTGGGAAAGAGCAGGGCTGGTTTTTGCACAAGGAAAAATGGTCCCAGGTATAGAGTTTCAAATAATGCCTTGGGCATGCTAGCAATACTGCCATTGATTTGGACTGCTTGCACCATTTCTCCCCATTGTAATCCCTCTATATTTCTTCTGTGGTGAAATTAGCAAGGAAAGACCCTTTTTTATCTTAGTCAGGTTTTTACATTCCCACTAAGCAGGTCTGTTAGCTGCTATAGGTTAATTTAGAGGAGCTCAAGCAGATTTCAGCAATGCCACGAGGGGAACTTTTCAAAAGAAAAATGGAACAGAGAGATAAACTGGGGGGAGGGGGCAATCAGGGTAACTTTCATTTCTAGCAAAATATATTCAAAGTCTGATAAATTTTAATTGGGAGGCATTCCACAATCTTGATATTGCCACAGAAAAAACCCTACGCCCATGATTGCTGTCTAGGACAGCACCAAGAACAAGGCCTCTGACATTGATGCAGGCAATCATCTATGGGAGCAAAGATTCCCTACTGAAGTTAACTAATTTAAAGCACAATCCTAAAACCATTAAGACAGAAAGAGCCATATAACTCTCAGCAGCCCCTCTAGCAAGCTATGCTGGTTGGGGCACAGTGAGAATTGTAGAATGTTTCATGTTTGAACATGCATAGATTATGTCCTTTAGTCTTTAAAAGCTAGCACAAGCTGCTTGAATTCAGAGGAAGCAAAGAGGGAGTCAACAGAACTGACATAAGATTGGCAGGTATATGTTTTGATTGCAAGGGTGAGACAGAAGTTTGGCTGCCACATTCTGGACTCATGGAACCATCTGAACTGCCTTCAAAGGCAGTCCCATGGAAAGTGCATTGTGCTACTCTGGTCTGGATGTAACTGAAAATAAGATGAAAAGTAAAAAGAATATGTTTTCTCAAAAGTACCAATGAAAAAATAATGAACCTAATATTTTTGAACAAAAATCTAGTGTAGCATAATGGTTAGCATGTTGGACAGGGAATAGGGAAATCTGGGTTCTAGTCCCTAGCTGGCCATGAAGCTCACTGGGTAACTTTAGGAAAAACTTAGGTTTTCAGCCTAGCCCACCCCATACTGTTGTTGTGAGAATAAGATGGAGAGAAGAATTCCGTAAGCCACCTTGGGATCCTTGCAGGAAAAATGGTAAGGTATAAATACAACAAATAAGTAAAGTAATTAAACTACTCCTTCCTCAAGAGCAATCCTACAATCCTGAATTCTAGGAACAGGCTGAGCCCACTTCCAAAGCTGTGGCTGTATCTTTTACACCTCTTAAAGGATGTAAGAGAGACAGCAGATGCTGTAGCTTAGATGTGGGTTGACAGGACTAATCTTAACAAAGGAGCTCTTAATTCCAAAATACGTTGAGTTTGTTAATTTATTCTCAGCAGCAATTTTGAGAACACCTTCCTTTTTCACTTTCCATCATGTTTTGGTGCTTGACTTTTGATATTTGTTAACTGAGAATAAGTGAAACAGAAAAAGGCAAACTACATCTTATCCAGATGAGGCAGTGACTGTCCTTAACCAGTGCCTGGCTGGTGTGATGGGCTGAATGAGGGCCAATAAATTGAGGCTTAATCCAGAGAGGACAGTGGTCCTGCTGGTGGGTGGCCAGGGTTTCCAAGTATTTTCTGGGTGGGTTTGCACTCCCCTCAAGGGACAGGATGCTTCGTTTGGGAGTGCTCCTTGGCCCAGAGTTATCCTTGGAGTTCCAGCTGACTACTGTGGTGAGGAGTGCTTTCCACCTGTTTTGGCTGCTCCATCAACTACGTCCTTGCTTCAATCAGCAGGGCCTAGCAACAGTGCTCCAGTCTCTGGTAACCTCCTGACTGGATTGGATTATTGTAATGTGCTATGTGTGGGACTGCCCTTGAAGATGGTCCAGATACTTCAGCTGGTCCAGGACAGAGCAGCCAGGTTTTTAACATGGACTGCTAGGTATGCTCACATAACACTGGTCCTACATCGTAGCACTGGCTACCAACTGAAGTCCGGGCCCAGTTTAAAGTGTTAACAATGATGTGTAAGCCCTAAACAGTATACAGCCCCTTCCTTACGCACCTTCCCATCCCCTAAGATCCAGGTCTGAGGTCCTTCTTTGGGAACCCTCTTTGAAGGAAATCAGAAGAGTGGCTACCCAGAGAAAGGCCTTTTCTGCAGTGGTGCCCCTGCTCTGGAGCCTGCTCCCCAGAGAGGTGCACCTGGTGCTGACCCTTTATTTCTTTTGGCACCAGGCCAAACTCTTTATTTTCCCTGTATTTTAAGAATCAACTGTGATTTTAATATTGGTTTAATGAGATTTATATTCTATTGTATGTTGCCACTACTACTGTGTATCACTGTCCTGAGATTTTGTATAGGATGGATACTCCAATAATAAACAAATAGTCTCCAGGTGCACCTTCCACTTGAGGTCTAATTGAAAGGCTTGTAGTAGGCAGATCTGAGGGACAACAGATGTGACAGGTTGATCAAAGTGGGAGGAGGAGCCTGATGTGTGAGCGGTTTTGGAAGAATTGGACTTGATGACTTTCTGTGTATCTTCCTTCCAATGCTAAAGCCAACTCTTTCAATTTAGAGGCAGCTATTTGATCATGTTAGGAAAAAAAAGAAAAAGAGCTTGGGGTGATGTTCAGGTACAGAGGTTAGTAGTTGGTGGCAGTTGTTCCCCTTAGGCAACTTTAACAGTAATCTTGACTGTTCTGCTGCCATGCAGCATGTCGCACCACCAAAGATCCTGTGCTTTCATTCTGTATTAAAGCTGCTCCCTGACTCACAGCTCCTTTCTGGCTGGTTCCTGTACTGCTTAGACCAATTCCATTTGCTATCTATCAGTTGGTGCTGAAAAGAGGGGAGGTCTGGGCTTAAACCAGCCCAATGAAGGCATAGGTTCCATCCCAGAATCCACCCATCCATTTTGTCTGTCCCATTTGAATGTCTGGGTAGAAACCATGTTGCTATCTTACCTACTAAGAGAGCAAACATTGAAGACATAATTACTTACCATCTGTAAACAGCGGTTCTGGGAGCTTTCGGAAGAAGGACTTCAAGAGGCTACTGATGACATTCAGGTCTTGCCACCTCTGACAGCAAAGGGGGGGTGGAGAAAGAGAGATTGAGTGAGTGTGTGTTTGGGGGGGAGGGGGGAATTACAAGGTTGAGATCCTGAGAAACACTGGATCTCCATACTGCCTGAACAAAGGAAGAGGCCAGGTGAGTCCCCTAGGCACATATAGAACCTTTAAGATGCTCTTTATTTCTGTTCATGCTAACAAGGAATGATGATGAGGAACCAGGTTTATTTTTTCCAATAAAATCATTAGTGAAATTTTATAAAACTATTGACTAAGAGACTATCTTTTTCACGTGGTGTCAATTTTTCCTTATTTCCTTGTTTAGCAAACATGAAGCTAAGCAGAAATGTGACTACAGGGATGCATTGTAATATTGCAGTTCCGAGGGAGGGCAGAAAGCCTATAGTATGTACCATTGGACACAGAGTTCAGATATCTGGGAATCCCAGGTTATAGGTAGGTAGGTAGGTAGGTAGGTAGGTAGGTAGGTAGAGGAACCAATGGTGCTTCCAGACCAGGATTTCATCATGCCATAGTCCCCCACAGATCTTAAAGAATGCCTTATCTTCTATTTCCATTTGTGCCAAAGTGTGAGACCATTTTAAAACTTTTGCTATTTGTGCTCTTCCTTCTCCAAAACTGAATTTTGGTTTGTGTTTGGCTCTCCAGTTGCCCTCCTATTCAATTTTTATTTGCTCTCCCATTCAGTCTATGATTGTTCTTTCTCCCATGAAGTCTACATCATTCGTGAATCATCAACCACATTAAAATATACTTATGCCTCTCATATCAAGTGGTCATGCCAACAACCTTCTCCAACTTGGTGTTCTCCAGATGTTTTTAACAGACTCCCATAAGCCACAGTCAGGATGGTCAATGATCAGAGATTATGGGAATTGTACTCTGAAACAACTGAAGAGTACCAGATTGCCATCTCCTAGATTCCATTCAATCCACACACACTGCCTGCACTACAGGTGAGTGGTAGGTAGGTGTCAGTGCTACCTAATAAAAATAATTTACTCTTCCCCCAACACAGATGAGGGACATGGGAATGGCAAGAGCAGTGAACAGCTAAAGGAATGACAGAGCAAGGTAGGAATTGTGGCACTGCTCTCACCTCGTCCTGCAAATTGATTTCTGTGGATCCTTTGTTGAGGTGTTCCTGCAGGCTGGACACCACAGCATTGTTCCCAGGGACCCGATAGATGCCCATATATTCCAAGCCCTTGTCTTCCACCACCTTGCAACAGGCTTCCACAATCAGGGGGATTTTCTGTAGAATCCAAAATGCAGTGGTGATGCTGGGAACAAGACTTGGATACTTTAACAGAGCAAAGCACCTTTCAGTGGGTGCTTTGTGGGGGCAATCAGAGTGACTGGTGCCAGGTGCCATTCCCATAAATATAACATAACATCAACATCATATTCCCTCTGCTAGTGCATTGCCTGAATTTCTGGCACACTCACTTTACATGCAGCAAATTGTGCTCTGAAATTTACTTTAGATCTGACCGCTGGTGAGTCTGTATGAAAGAAAATTGAGCACTTTGAAGTGTCTCTGATAATGGGAATGATTCTCTCCAAAAATGTACCAACAGCATCATGCTCCAATTAAGCCAAGGTGCTTCTTCTAACAGTGTGCTCAGCCTCTCCTAATCAGGAATGAGACCACAGGCATTTAGCATCCAGCCCCTCAACAGGAACTCTACAACCCATCTGAGCCACCTTCTTCCCACCAAGCTAATAGGCCTCCCCTACCCATGTGGACAAACTTACTATATACCTCTTTCTGTTGCATGTCTGCACGTGCTTACTATCCCTAAGGTAACATACTCTGTCTGTGTGAGTGCACAGAACAGACAATGGTCTTTGGACTGGCTATCTGTTGAGCTGTTTCCCTGCCACAGAACTTAGTGGAGTGAAAATGTTTCTTCCCCTTAAGGAAAATCCCTGATGCACTAGCTCTCCACAGGCAAAAAAACATAATGTAGAACAATATAAGAGGACTCACCTTGTTGTCAGGAGCCGGCTGGCAGTCTTCTAGCCTCACACCAAAGGCTCTTGGAGGAGGCTTCTTGTTCTTCTTCATTATGTTGATACCCCAGGGAGCTTTCTGAGGGAGACTGTCATCTGGGCACCGGGAAAAAAAGGAAAAAAGACAAGCTGACTGGCTGAACCATGTAGATATGGAGAAACATACTGCAGGTAGAATCAGATGAAAAATGTCTATCCATGAATCTTCCCCTAAGGTGAGTTTATGCAAATACATTTGGCAGGAAAATGACACACTATGGTGAACTTTCCCTGTCACGTGCCCAGTCAGTATAAGCGAAGGAGAAGGCAATTTGGTGGAAAGACAGGTTGTTTGAGGCATGGGGTGCAAGATAGCAGAAGGAATGCAAATGAAGAGGGAGAAGAAAAGCATTGGGATTGACAACAGATTAATTTGTGCAGAATGGCAGGAGTGATGATAAGAGGTAAACAAAAAAAATGGTGTCCAAGTTCATTATGAATTTGTATCTTGGCTTTTAGGGAGAACCCTCACAAAGAGACTCACAACAAATGAAAAACAATGACAACAATGCAAAAACAATTTCCAAACAAGACATCAACATTTTAAATGATTTTAAAAACAAGCAGGAGCTAAAATATAATGTCAGTAACACTGTCACTAAATAGCAGAGAAAAATAAAAATATTTTTAAGATCTGCTTGAAGAAAATAGTAAAGGTAACCATTGTAGCTCCCAAAGGAGAGAAATTCACAATGGGGAAGCCATAACTGAAAAGGCCCATCAACATGACATCTCTTAATGGCATTCTACCTTCTATCCAGCAAGCCCTGCTATTGTTTATGTCAGAAGTGAGGTTTCCTCCTTTGCCCTTTCAAAACAGCAGACTGTTCTTTGGCAAAAGCTCTTCCTTCTCCAGTGTACATCCAGCAAAGCATAAACAGCAAAGAAAGAGTTTCTGTGCATGCACAGAGCAGTGTGCTGAACCCACAGTTGAACTTACCTCCAAGAACCTTCCTTTTGAGTACCCCTGAGCCCATCCCTCTGAGAGGGCTTCTCTAGTCATAGGCCAGCTTCTTGGCTGTATGCTGCCCTTCTAGTTGCCTGGCACTTCTCTCTTGATGCCATGCCATGGGGTCAAAGATTGTATCATCTGGCTCCTGTTCCATTCCCACTCCCAACTACTGCAGATTGTGGCTATTCCCAAGGTCTGCCTGAAGAGCTGGAGAGGGTAGCCTTGAGATAAGCCCTCCTGCCATTTCCATCTCAAATATGGAGGCCTCATTTCCCAGGGCTGCTCCTCCTCTGAATAGTCCAAATCTCCCTGGCCTTGAATGAAATATGTACCAAGAACCACTGCCTTTTTCCATTCCCAATAGTTTACTATTTCTTAAAATGAAAAGTGCAACTTGCTTTGACCACATGTTGAAGCAGAAAAGTAGGTTATGCATTAAGTGTTACATGAACTAACTAAATAATAACCGCCCCTCCATTCTCTGAGATTAGGCAGCAGAAATTACAGTCCAGAAAGCAGGACATTTAGGGAAGGTTTAAGCCCCAGAAGGTCTCAAACAAATATGGTTAAAACCTATTCAAAACTATAGCTCCTTTTAGGTCAGCCTTGCCCAGTCTGGTGGCCTCCAACTGTGTTGGACTACAATGTGGACATGATTATTGGTCAAGGCACATGGAAATTAGGTGTCCAACATATTTGGAGGGCAGCAAGCTGGGGAAGGATAAACCCTTCTAGATGCTTGTAAAATACACAGTCTCTCTCTAGTCCCTCTGCTCTCATAAATGCTCACACAGCAATTCACTTGAGCTCTTCATACCTCTTAGTGTTACTGCATCCTGCCGTGGAGAGCGGGGTGGGCCTGTTCCTATTTGCTTCTGCAATTCTGACTTCACCCCTGGTACACGAAGACCTTTTGGGGATGAGTCTGGTTTGGTCCCAGAGGAACTGCAAGAGGTAGAGATATATGCAACATACCAATTCAAGGCTTAGGTTTAACACGCACACACGCACGCGCGTACACACACACACACACACACACAGAAGTCTTTGCCAGTCTGGCAAATGCAAGTGAGTCAAATTGCAGCCTGATCTTCACATCCTTATGTAAATCAACATGGATGTGAGGCTAAGGAGGGGGCTAAAGAAAGCCTATAACAGAAAAAGATGAGAAGCTATGGATGAGAAGCAACCCTAGCCAACCAGTGGGATGCAGAAATTGTAAAAGGAAGTCAAGGGCATAGCATGCTTGATTTACACTGACTCCCTATGCCTATAAGTAAGCAAGAAGGTGTAGAAGAGCAGGGCATGGAAGATTCCTGCAAGAGGCTTTGACCCAACATATCTTTCTTTCCAGCTGCACAGTATTAATCTTCTTTGTGTCTGTTCATTTGTTCCCAGTGGTTGCTCTTCGGTATTTACTGCACACATCCACAGAGTTCATGACAAGAGTAACGAGGGACAAAACTTAAAGGAGGAAGAAATTAGAGGCTTGAACCATCAGGCCTAGACATCCCACTCCAAAGGTAGGACCCTTTGCTGCTGCTGGAAACAAGCCAATAAATGTCCAATGGTTGTATATCAACTTCCATTGGCTTCCTTCCTAGCTAATAGTGACCAGGACAAGCACTGCCTTTTCTTTGGTAACAGAAGTCCATCTAACTCCCTGAATCCAAGTTTCTAATTCTTCCATATTGTTGCAATTTAATTTTAAATCTGAATAACTGGAGGCAGAATGAATTCTACAAGCTGGTTTAGCTATACTTCATTAGAGCTACAGTGCTGAAGGGTATGTGCATATGTGTCTTTTTTTTTTTTGGTTGGAGAGAGGTTGCAGAGGATATACACAGCTCTGACTGCTGGAACAGAGTTTGAGTGGTAAACTTGTGCATAATAATTAATAAAATACTCCTCTGTGAAAAATGAATATATAAATTGCTCCACTTAGAAAACCAGAAGGCTTGAGAAGATTGAGGTTCTACATTTTCCTGAATTTCCTTGCTTTCTCAGGGCAGGGAAAGCTTTTGTAGTGAGGAACATAGCCCAGATACAAGTTTATTATCCAAGGAGGAACTAGATTCAACTCAGGACGGATATAAAGAAGAAAAAACCCTGAACAGGAAAGAAAAGAAATATAGTAAGAATTTTACCTCACTTTTCGGTAATCGTTTAATTTCTTATTGATCAGTGCTTGGCTTGCAAACCCAGGGTCCTAGTTATAAAGAAAGAAAGGTGGGGTGGGGGAGAGAAGAGGAGAGATAAGAACAGGATTAACTGTCAGCTCAAAGCCACATATGTTAAACCAAGCCCTTTCTACGCCATTGATAAAAGTCCCTTTTCAGCAAGACTTGGGTAAACTAAAATGTGGTCAAAGGATACTTTGAACTGATTTCCTTCCAGATGCTTTTAGGAGTCACTGTTGTAAAATACCTGACAGTTCCAACAACCTTTTTGTCATATTGCTCTTTATAAATCTTAATATAAATCAAACAGAGAAGCATGGTCCGCATGTAGCCAAGGGGAATAAAGCTAGAACCTATACATATACATACATACGTACGTACGTACATACATACATACATATATATATATATGGAGTCATTTTGTCAGGGAAATTGCTTTGCAGGGGATGAGATGCATTCAAACCCCTAAAGTTTCACAGTCTGGGAAAGCCTTTACCTCTAGGTATTGCTCAGTGTAAAAATTTCTCCTAGCCATACTGGCTGAGGAGAATAGAAGAAGTTGTAGGCCAACACATCTGGAGAACATCAGAACATGGAAGACTTAGTTTGATCTGCTGACAAGCAGAGGTTTCTGAACTTGAGCTTCTGCAAGTGATTCTAGTTCATAACTGAATTATTTCAGTGTGCAGCAAAGATGTAAATGAAGGGAGCTTGTGAAGTAACTCTGCATACCTTGCAATACCAAGAGGCCCAAGTATGGAACTGAACGATTGTTTAATCAAAAACTATGAGCACATTTTGGGAGACTGGAGGTGGCAGGGTGGGGGAGAGACGACACACTTAGCCCTCTAAAAAAAATGGACCATTCCCACAATCCAGTATTGTGCGCTTGTGGACTTCTGACTTGAACCTCCACACTAATTCTCCCAAGTCAATAGCTTTCACTGTCACAGCATCTCATGGACTCCTGAAACTAAACAGACAGACCAGTGTGCAAGCCTGGGGATTTGCAGTTGGTCTCTTCCCTGAGAAAAAGGGGGTCATCAACTGAGAGAAAGCAAAGAGGGGCTGCCAATAGAGGTGCATTTGAAGAACCAGTGGCCCAGGAGCTAGCCACTGCCAATTCTCACCTCGCCCTCGGCTTTGCTACTCTCCCTGATGGCTTTAATCCAGGCCAGCATGTCATCCCGGTCCTCGGCCTGAAAGAGACATTCACAGAAGTCAGCGGTCGTCAGCCGGAAGACGTGCTTCCTCTTGGTGTCACTGTAGGAGATGTCTACCAGGCACGCTCGGATGCTGATTGGTGGCTGCTCCTCCTCACCTGGGGGCGGGGCCAAGGCCACGGCCTCCCGCCGGTCCTTACACAAGTAGAGCAAGTGGGCACGCAAAACAGCAAAGGCCCGCTTCCACTGCCGGATGCCTCCGCCAACTTTCTGCAGAGGGGAAGAGGGAGCATGTGATGTGGTAAGGAAGAGAAAAAGACATAGAAAAGACGTGGAAAAAAGCAGAAAGAGAGGGGAGGGAGGGAGAAAGAGCATGTGAGAGAGTCAGTAGGCTGGCCTCAAAAAATGTTACGGAGGACAAGTTCTGAGAGGCAACACTTCAGCTTCAGTAGATACATGAACACACTAGGCCCTAGAAAATTCAGCATAAGTCCTCATGCTGCCTCAGGCCAACTAGACAATCCGGCACCAATCTAGTGCCCCCCAGATGTACTGGATTTTAACTCCTAGCATTCCTCAGCCAGCCAGCTGAGGAATGCTGCAACTTATAGTCCAGTACTGTACCCACTCTGGGGAAAAGCTGAACTAGACGGTTTAACATCATCTGCTGCGCTCAGTTTTCCATTTGCTGACCAAGGAAGCTACTTTGTCAGGCCATTGGTCCATCTAATTCAGTATCCCCTGCACTGACTAGCAGTGGGTCTCTGAGTCTTTTCCCAGCACTAGTTGAGAACCTAGGAACTAAACCCGGAACTTCTGCATGAAAATCAGGTGTTCCACCACTATGCCTTAATTAAAGCTACAGGAAAGTTTCCACTAGTTACTAGATTAGAAAACAGTATTTACTCCTTCAAATAAAGATTTTCCTCACATTTAAAAGCTTTTAAGTATGCTAATTATTTAACAGATTTATGCTTGCACCTTTACACACTTTGAAACCTGAGAGGCTTGCTGAAAAGAAAGTTAAACAAAGTGTTTGCTTATTTGTGAAACTGTCATTAATTTTCCACCTGCCATACATATGCAAAATCTTGTTGAAACTGTAACATAGTTACCTTTCCAAGGATTGCTAATGAAGCAAACATCAACACATAGTTACCATGCATTATAAGAAGAGAAAGCTACTTTTTAAATGCTGTTTTTCATCAGTTTAGGAACAGGTATCTCAAAACTTTGCGCATTCCACATATTAGAGTAATGTACCAAATTGTTATTTTTTAAAAATACAAATCCCGCTGGTATTGTTGAAAATTCATTGTTTTAAAGGTTTAGAGGCAATGATTTCCAGTGGGCACTGTGAAGAGCACATGCCTCTGTTTTTATATCGAAGAGTATAATTCTTGCTAGATCTGACTAAGGGCCAAACCAGAAGCAACAACAGCAAGTCCAAAGTCTGAACTGTATTGTTACCAAATCCTTAGGATAGCTGGCTTCCTGAGTCCTTTACACAACCATTAATTCCCCCTGTAATTACATCTTCTCACACTTTTTTCTCCTGAGAGGGGATAGTTTCTACTCTTGGAGCCCACTAGGAAATAGCTAGGGAGAAGCAATTACAGGAAGGAGGAGAGGTGCATGAATGGATGGGGTTCAGCACCCTGTCCCACATGCCCTCTTGTTACATTTTAAAACAGTTTGCCATCCTGCTGTGGAGGATTGACATGTGCAGGACTGACACTGGGTTATGCTGCTCCCATATCTAGTTTGGTCCTAAAAATGGTCCCATCAGCTGTGACACAAGAAGAACACTGCCCTGCCGGAGTGGCTTGCAGAGTGGTATTCACTTCTGTTCCGGTCCCAAAAAGAAATTGGTGGGGAAGTTCTAAAGGGAAAAAAAAGAAGCTAAGAATCTTGGATTGCTTCCTGCTGCCTCTGTTGCCAAGTTCCACCCTTGCACTGTGAGACTGAAGAAGTGCAGAACATGCATAGTCCTTGTAACAGTGACCTACCTTTTAGGATTGTGCAAGAGTGAAGGCAATGCAGATGGCAAAGCTCTTTGCAAATTAAATGTTATCTGCAAAATAAATTGGTAGTAGTCTCGCAGCTGATTGCTTCTTAATGATTACACTGTCATCATTCATCCAGGGGTGGGTGAAATTCTCAAGGAAGTTTTAGACAGCTTTCTAACTCATGATGGGGGACATATCCCCTCAAAAAACATAAAGGTACTGTTTGTAACAAGTTTCAGCATTCAAGAGTCTAGAGCACCCTCTAGCTTGCATGAAGGATGAGTCAATATTTTGAAATGAAATGCAAGAGAACCAACATTCTACATCAGGTAGGAGGTCCACGAAACAAATGCCTGTAGAGCAGAGACTCAGCTTTGTTTGAGTTCACCTAAGAAGCTACATGATGCAGCTGTTTGTTACTCCAAAACATGTCAGATGAGTCCCGCTGGATCAAACCTGCCCAACATCCTGTTTCCAACAGTGATCAGCCAGATGTTTTGGAATAGCCCGTAAGAAAGGGACACGAGTGCAACAGCCCCTCTTCCATGGTTTTCTCCTCACATCACACTTCACACCACCAGCTGATATTTAGAGACATATTGCCTCTAAACCTAAAGGTTCCAATTAGCTATTGTAGCTAATAGTCTCTGATACCTTATCCTCCATGAATCTGTTTAATCCCCCTTTACAGCTGTTTAAGCCAGTGGCCCTCACCACACCTTGCAGTGGTAAGATCCATGAGCTAATTACATGTTACAGAAAGAAGTGCTTCCTTTTAGGAACATAGGAATATGGAAAGCTGTCTTAGACTGAGTCAGACCATGGGTTCCTCTAGCCCAGCATTATCAGCACTGACTGGCAGTAATGATTTGCCAGGGTTTCAAGCAGGATTCCTTCCTAGCACTGCCTGAAGATGCAAGGTTTGACCTGCAAGCAAGCACTGCCTGCCAAGGCAATTTCATTGAGCATTGTGAGAAAAATGTCTCTGTATATCTACCTTATCCAAGTCATGCATCATTTCATAAAGCTTTGAATGTCCAGTTTTAGTCATCTTTTTTTCTAAACCAGGGGTAGGGACTTGTGGTCCTCCTAATGTTGTTGGACTCCATCAGCCCCAGACGGCATGGCCAATGGCCAGAGGTGATGGAATTATAGTTTAATAACTTCAGATCATTTTGGTTGTCCTGTGCTGCACCGTTTCTAGCTCCATGGCATCCTTTCCAACTTGAAGAGACCAGAACTGTATTCCCAAAGTGGCTGCAGATTCGTATGAAAAGAAATGATAACACTGGCAGTTTGTTTATTTTCAGTTCCTCTTCTAATAATCCCTAATATGGAATTTGCCTTTTCTACAACCATTTTGTCTCCATTTAAAGCAACAGGGTTTAAGTCAAATCCTGACTATTTAGTTGGGATGTAAGTGCAGCTAACTTAGTCCAGACTCAGCCCTTGGAACTAATGTTTCCTTTGAATTACCATCTCTACCATAAACCCCAAATTACTTTCCTGGTCTGTGACCACCACTTCAGATCCTATGTATACTGGGATTCCTCCCTGCTCACTCCGCCACATGCACACGTACACCCAAACTCTGCCCCTTCCTGCTAAGAGCAACCTTGCAAGAAGTTACAGACTTACCTTGCCTTTCTTGGTGAGGATCTGTTTGTAGTGCAGCCAGCCTTCTTTCCTCACATCACTGAAAGTAACATCTGACAGGTCAGAGGTTGAATGCCTCTTTGATCGGGTGTCTTCAGAGGTGCCCAGGCTATCCAGAGACTGCAAGGAAAGAGGGAAACATCTGAGAATGAGGAGTATAGTGCTGCTCAAGGGCTCCTCTGCATGAAGCTTTTAATGTATCCCTTTACTGAGCCTTCTGCTTCCAGATCCTTTGTGGGATTAAGATCAGCTCCTTTACACATTCCCCCAGGGAGTGTTCTCTTTCTGCCTTTCTATATGATCCATTATGCAACCAGAAGGTGGCACTCCAGTGTTACAAAATTTGAAAATAAGTGGGTTTATCATTCATTCTGCCATGCCCAGATAGTACTACCACACTTTCCATGGAAATGCTTAGAAAGCACAGGAGAGGTTTTGAAGGATGATGATAGTGTGTAAAGCCACAGTGATATGGTTAGAATACTGGAGCTGGAGACTTGGGAGAGCCAGGTTCTATTCCATATGCAGCCATGAATATGACTGGATGACGTCTACCTCACAGAGGTCACCCAGTCTACCTCACAGAATTGTGACTTCTACCTCACAGAATTGTTGTTGTTGTGAGAATAAAAGGGAGTGAAGCACTATGTAAGCCATCCTGGATTCCTTGCAAGAGGAAAAAAAGGCAGGATTTAAGTGCAATGTAATAATGATGAAGATGATGATGATAAAGCAACTGCAAAATGATGTGAGAAATGATGAGTGCACAGCAAAAGCCTGGTGTAGAGAAGCCCCAAGTGCAGAGAGAGGAGAGAGGCTACTTGATTATAGGTGAACAACAGTTGCTCAGGCTGGACTGAAGAACAAAACTGAGTGGAGCAACACAAGGATGTGCTTCAAAGGAGGTGAGGTTTCGGAAACACCAGGAGAGAAGGGTGAACTCGTCAAGTATGGGGGAGGAAGGAAGAGAAAGTGCAGTTGTTCTGACTGTGAACGAAGAAAATGTGGCTTGAACATGGAACTGGAGACAGAGTCTTGTGGGTGACCTTAGTTATGAGCAGTTCTGGCAACTGCTGCCTCCCATGTAGATGTATGCCTGAGATTCAGGAGCATTAGCCATTGTCAGGTTGTTTAATCTCAGATTCTAACACATGAGCAATTAGCACCTCTTTCATAACTGGTGGGCAAATACAGGAGAACTGGAGCGTATCTTTATTCTCCATGGGCTGAATATGTTCCCCCAACAAAATGTCTGCATGGGCTATAGAGCACCCAAATGGATGAAACTGGCTAGTTTGCAAGCTAAGCTTGATCATTTATTTGATTGATAGTGACAATGGAATGCTACATGAGCCAAATACAGGTAGAATCTAGTGAGCCACATTTTTTTCTTAAAGAGAAGGCTCATGGAAATACAAGTACTAACCCCATCAGTGAAGAAGCTTCTTAACATGCGGAGGCTTGGCACACGACTTGGCAACCTCCTAGAGAGAAAACATTGGTACAATCGGTATGAGCATACAAACCAAAATAAAAATTAACAAGTTCTGCTCACCTCCAGGCCCACTTTACTGGGCATTCCTCCTTCTAAATTCCAGAACACAATCACTTTAACTAATTCAAAGACAAAACATCTTTTTCTCTGAATTGTATCTGTTGTATTGTATCTGTGAAGTGGGCTCTAGCCCATGAAAATACATTTGTGTGTAAACAAAACCATGACTTACTTACTAGGAGGGTGCACATATGGAATTAATATGCCAGATGCATTGAACTTCTTTCAACTCAGGGGCCAAATTACATTTCAGAGAAATTGGATTTGCACCAAGAAGGTGGCAACCAAAAATGCCATAAATGGGGAGAGATGGGGGGAAGCCAAGAATGCCAGCATATTTTAGCTTAATACTGTTAGGACAGGCATTTCAGTCTTTTAGTGTTAGCCCAGAGGTCTAAACTGAGTTCCCAAGAGGAGGTCCTGAACCCGCACTAGGCAATGTTGCACCCAGGAGAATGGTTCTAGCACCAATGATCCTACATAGAAAATATATATATAACTATTCAAAACATGTGTGTAAGTGAGGAAGGCTACAACTCAGGGGCAGGGCAGATGCTTTGGATGGAACAGGTCCGGGGTTCAGTCCCTGGCATTCCTAGTTAAAGGATTTCAGTTTGCAAGGTCAGGCACTCTAGGAGAACTGCTGCCAGTTCTGAACCAAAAGTTCTAACTCAGCATCAAAACAATGTCATATATAGACATGTTTTATGAAGCCAGAGGGCTTTTTGCTGGCTTTGCTCCCAAAAACTAAGATGAAAAGTAGATGATAGTTCCTTCAGAGAGTTGAAGTAGCCTGAAAGAAAGATAATTACTGATAGTATATACTTAATTTCATCTCTGATAAACAAGTTCTGCACATTTTTTTCATACTGCTCCTAAATCCTATTTGCCTAGAGAGTGTGTGCCTTTCTTGATGCTCTTGCCTAGAAATTACTGTCTGCCAGCAGTCTGCTACATCTCATCTTCTGGAACTATTTCTTGATGCCGAGACAAATCAAAATAATTAAGAAAGAATCCACAGTCCTGCTCCTCCCCTCATCCCACTGTCAACAGCAAATTAAATGGATCCGAGAGAGGAAGGGAGACTGTGCAGGGAGCTATACCCACCTCAGAAGCTTTCCCTCATCCCGAAATGTGTTTAGACCATCATCACATGACTTGGAGCGTTCTGTTGTTATGGCTAAGAGGTAGGAAGACCGGCGACTTGCTTTGATGTTGCCTGAGGCAGAGACAAGAGGGCAAGGTAAGGATCAATGGCAGATATTGAAAGGGCCTAAAAAGGCCACCTAGTCCAACCACCTCCCCACTGCAAGATGTCAACTTGCACAAAGATTAACAATTAATTGGTTTACTATTTTAGATACAGTGTGCTGCATGTTTGTTATGGTTTTGTTCTTGGTTTTCTGTTCCTTGTAAGCCATCCAGAGACTTTTTAGTAATGGACAGAATAGAAGAATTTTAAATAAATAAAATAAAATACAATTTAAAAAAGATTGTCCACTTGAATGGCTGAAAAGGACAGCTTCTGTGGCAGGCAAATTAAACAGATGACCCACACAAGAAATACGAGTGAAATTCTACCTTAGTTCTCACTTACAAATTCTTCACCTGTAATTCTTACTCTTAAAAGCACATCCATATTTGAGCAAATGCATGAGAGCCACAAAACATCTTTTTCTAAGTAGAGGAAGAGGACATACATGAGAAATCAGGAGGGGTTGAGCTACATGGATTCTGAGCCATATGAATTCAGAAATTTTTGCATTTAAATGACATGAAGCATTAATATCAATTTATTAATAACTACATGTACATTTTCTTAAAAGCAGGCACACAAGTAGACCATTGTACCTCAGAAGCAACTGTTCCTCATACTGACAGCTAGAAAGCACACTTTTGCAGAGTTTCTAAATTAAAACTAGAGGCCCATTTCTTGCTTGTGCCTCAAAAGGTTTACTTTTCAAGCGTGAGAGGCCTGCTAAAATAACCCACCTTCAAAGGAACCCACCTGCTCTGTCTCTTTTTGAGTCCCTGCTTTAACAGCACTTTCCTCACTGTGAGGGGAAAAGGCCAGAGCAGTGGTTCATACAGAGCAGGCTGCCTCCTCCATGGATGGAGTGAGTGATTTGGGCTTATGAAATCCTTTAATGATTCATTCTATCCTCCACACCACCCCTGGGCTCATCATCATGCTGGCAATTCTCTCACACCTCCAAAATTTAAGAATGCCTACCTTAGAAGTCTACTGTTTAAGAAAGTTGGCTTTCAAAACCATTTTTTCTTTCTGTCATCTTATGATTCAGTTTCAGTGGAATGTTATAAATCATACTAATGTCTATTTTATTTGCTTTCTTTTAATGCAGCTAATGAGGAAAACTATTCTCAAGCAAATTCTCCAATAGCTTGATTTTTTTTGGTTACGCCTGAAAGCATATAAAATCTATCTTTCTTAATAAGTTGCAAACTTCCCAGTTATGAGTACTGTTTGATTTAATATCAACAGCCTTGTATTTAAGCATTAGCCTGGCAGCCACAGGCAACAAGGAATTGTATATAGGCGGGAGCATGGATTTGTGTACAGACAAGCAAACAGTCTGGCAGAGGAAAGAAATAGCTCTCCATCTGTCCTTCACAAGTAACAATTTTTGTAGGCCTGGAACAGCTATGGGCTTATTTACAGGACTTCCTTTAAGCCTAGCACAACATTTTGTTCCACCTACATGTGGTCTCTCACCACTAGGCAGGAGTTTCTGAAAGGCCTCCTAACACCCTCCTGTTCTGCTTGCCATCCAAGCAGACTGGATGCTCAGAGCCAGAGGAAGGCAAGGTTGGGCAGGTACTTACTGCAATCCTGGGAGTAATGGCGGTTGATGGCAAAGGTGAAAGTGGGTGAGGAGGGGCTAGCTGATAGCACAGGGGCAGAATTCATGGCACTGGAAACGACGGAGGAGGCAGGGATGTGCTTTGCCTTCAGGTCAATGCTGGGGCTTGTGGGCTCATCTGGAACAGTAGAACAAAACACAAACTAATGGAAAGGAAAGCAGAGGGCCGAGCTTTTGAAAGAGTTCTCAAATAATTGTTTCAACAACTGACAGTTATCTGTCCTTAATAGGGATGCATGAAGAATCTGGCAATTGGAACTCTGTTGGATTTTCTTGCCCACCCCCCACCATTCTGATTTGGCACTAACTCACTACAGCATTAATTGAGCCAGATTATGAACTTCCATCTGAAGGACAACTACAATTTGCTTACTTTCTTTTCAAACTGTTAATAGAATGCTTGTAAATGGATACTGGGAAAGCATATGATTTCAATGCAGTTAGCACTGCTTGTGCAAATAGCAACACTAAGCCATGTGTTTTTCATATGTCATTTTGTATAAAATTCAATTATTTTTGCACAAAGCAGCACCCAAAAACATGTGGCATGGTGACACTTGCACAAACAGCACTACGTCATGTGGTTTTCTGGTGCTGCTTTTGCACAAAATGGCTACCAAAAGACAAATGGTTTACCCCTATTTGTGCAAAAAGTATTACTCACATTCCTGTGCCTTCCCAGTGCCAGTTAGTGAAAATTCTACTTACAGTTTCAACAAATGTATACAAATCACAGTCCACCTTACAGATGGAACTCCATGAAAAAACTTTACTTGGTCTATTTCCATCACTGGATCAGAAGCAGAACAGCAAGTCCAGCAAGCTTACCTTCCTTTTCTCCTTAACAACCAGTGCTCAAGATGCCAGCAGGCAGAGCAGAATAAAGGTTCCAGAAGTCAGTACTCACTGGAGGGAGGGTGGCTTCTCTTGCCATGAGCTATGGGGCTTCTGCCCAAGGACCCACAGAAATGCAGAGCTGTATCTAGATGACATGGTTCATGCCAGAGGGTTTGCATTAAATGGACAATGAGGAATAGAGGAAGGAAAGATGCTACAGGCTGATATAGGAGTGATCTGGAGTAAGGAGCAGCTGAATAGAAGTAGGAGAGGAACCTTTAAGATATGAAGGGCAGGAAGAGTATTACAATGTTAAGAAGAACTTGAGAAGAGAAAGAGAAAACTTGAAAAATAAATGGCTGAGGCATAAAGGGGAACAGACCAAAGGGCATTTTAGAAATGAGACTTCATGGAGGGGAAGCTGGAAACAGAAGGCGCACACTCATATCCAAATGTCATCTTTTCTGCCCTTCCCTCCAAAATGCAATGCATCACACAGACTTCATGGGCTACATCAAATGATGCAGCATCTGTGCCAGTCCCCTAATCTCCCTTTCAATCCATTCCCATTGCAAGGTGTCTCCTACTCTAAAGTCTTGGAGCTAAATGAAGGTGGGCTAAGGAGGATCCAACAATATTCAGGTCAGAAATCATCACAAACTACATCTTAGGACAGAGCTACCATGAGCTAAGGAGGGGGTGGTGAGTAGTGGCAAGGAGGCCTGCTAAGCAGGTCATCCAAAGAGATCAAATTGGTGGTGGTGAGAGGTGATCCCACAACCACTGAACCAACACTATGCAATTCTTTGTGCAGACTGAATGATTCAATATCCTCATTCTTACCCACCTGCAAAGAATAAATGACTCATGACACAATATTAGCTAGTCTCAGAGGTCTTTCACACATGACGCAAGACACCTATCTGTGTGTAGTGAACGATCTAACCAAGGTTGGCCAGGGGATGGTACATCACAAGGATCTAAAACAGAGAATCAGCATCCTGTGGGGGGTGCAATTTCCAAGCGATTGACCCTCCCCATCCACAAGATTACATCATTTAAAGATTATTCTGGCTGCTCAGCAAGTACTCACAAAAAACCCAGCTCCCTCCTAAAATTAGGAGCCTGCAAGAATTTTATTCTTATTCACAATGTAAACATTTCCTGTTTGCTGGCCTAAAAGTGAACACAAGTATGAATGAAATCCTCAAGAAATTTTCTCAACTGCATTTACATTCAAAAGTGCATGCTTAGGCAAGTGCCCAGCTGCACACAGGTGCACATGGGCAAATACTCTCCAAATCCACATTTTCATGCTTCACATTTCATTCACAGGGCTGAAATGCATATTTTTCAACTGGGAAATATTCACACTTTTAAAAAATGTTCATTCTTTCCTAAACAGAAAACAAAAGATGCTTACGTTGTAGCATGGAAATGAAGCACAAAGAGCTTAGAGGAAGGCAGTGAACTCATTGCATTTTTACCCAACTCTAAGAAGTCTCATAGGTTGGGTGGGAAACAGGTGGCAAAAGCTATAGCCGGGCAATCCACCAGTAGCCCCACTACATCATAATCCTGGCACGATGTCACCTTGCTTCAGTGTATGTGGCCTCCCTAACAGTGATAGTTCTGGTGACTTCTAAGAGGCTGCCCATCATGTAGTGTGAGCCAAAGACATTGTGGAAAGCCGCACTGTAAAGCAGATAGGGCTACCATGAAGAGTGTAGTTACGTCCACTTGGGAAAGCCCTATCCATGTGGAACCACGTGCTAGCAAGGTGCTGCACTGTAGGAATTCTACTGTGGCTTTGGCTATAGCTTTTGCCTCCTCTTCACTCTTTGTTCCCTGAGTCCTTGCACTGATAACTCCAAAACCAGCCAAATACACATTAGTCGGTCTCCCCTACCTGCTCCACCATAACCATGTGTTCAACAGACTGAAATCTCTGTCCTGCATACCTTTCTCACAGTTACTTATGCAGGTCTTACATAAATATGCATAACGCATGGAACCAAGTCCTAAGGTGACATGAGTTTGGAACATGCTTCTACCCATCTTTCCAAACAGCAGTCTACCTGCGCATTGGTGTCACTTAAAAACTGGTTGAAAAGTTCAAGGAACTCATCTGGGTAAAACAAGTATCTATGGATGGAAAGTCAATTCTGCCTACAATGGGGGAGACCTGGGCATTTCTATCTCACAAAGGGGTTTCTACTACCATGAGCATACAGGAATTTCCTGAAACATGGCCTCATGATGATGATGGCAAAGTGCACTGCCTCCATCAAGCCAACTGGGATGAGCCCCAAAAGGGGGATAGAATGGTTATGCTAACCTTCACCAACTAGGACCCTTCAGTTGTATTGTATTACAACTCCCATCACTCCATCCAAGTAATCCTCTCTTTGTAACTTGCACTGGCTTTGTTCAGCTTTCCAATGTTGCCTCAAAACTCTACAATAAGCACAACTCAGCAGCAAATGTTCACTGGTCCAACACCTCTTTCCAAAGTATCGTACCTTGCTTTCTCTACTTACCAATAAATGGGATAGACGCAAGTGAATCTTCTGGCGTAGCCAAAGGGGCTACTCCCTGCTTGTTCTCTTTACCAGCTGCCAGCACTGGAGGAGGTGGATCACAAATGTCTGTTTCCTTCATGTTATCCGGGAAGACAAAATTCATCTGCCTTGTGGGAGGAGGCATTTTGCGTCCTGTTGGGGGCTTCTGTCGGAGAACCACCTCATCCCTCTTATCCTCAGCCTCAGGCTGCAGTCGTTCTGTAGCCTGAGATGGTGAAACCCACTGAACAGGCCTTGTATCATTCTCCTGTTTAGCTGGTCTTTGGTCCATTGAGGTCTCTGAGCTACTGCCAGCGGGAGTATCTGAGCAAAGAGCAGGGGCATTTGGGAGCACAGCAGTAGACAAAGGCCTCTCAATATAAGGTGGCGTTGAGTTATTTGCTTGCCTTTGAGAAAGATTAAATGTTGGAAGGTCACCAAAAGCAGCATCCCGAAAAGAGAGGGCATGGAGCAAGCCAGTCCGGCGCTGGAATGAAGGGCTGTAGCTCCGGTATCCAATATACCCAGAGTCATCGATGCTCTGGAGGTTGGGCTGGGAAGGGTGTTTTTGCACATGCACAGGGGGTGGATCCCTGGAAGAGGCAGAAGGAATATAAGAACTTGGCTGATTAGGTTGGGCTCGGTTAATTTGCCCATGCCGGTAAAACCTGTCCGGTGGCCACATACACCTCTCATATCTAGGAGAAACCAAGGCACCCTGTTCAAGAGCTTCCAAGGATCGCCCATATTTCACCAGGTAGTTATCCGATCTGGCCCGGTAACTCCAGCCTTCATGGGCAGGGGACTGGATTAAAGTGTCTTGGGAAGCACTGTGAGGCCAACCCCGGGGGGCCGGGGCATCCCCCAGGTGGTCTTGCGAGACACTCCGGTAGCGTGGCGGCATGGCACAGTGGCGCTCCTCTGATGAGCTTCGCCTTGGCACTTGGCTCGAAATCCAGTTCGACAAGGCCTGTTGGCATTCTAGACGGCTGACAGATTTTGGGCCAGCAGTGACACAGTCCCGGGAGGGCCGGCCCTCTCTGGGACTGTCTTTCAACCCACCATGAGGAAGATGGTCAGGGAGATGTTTGGGCGGCCCGTAGCAGGCGTGGTTGGGCATAGAGGGAGCTGGAGGAGCACAGTACCTCTCAGGCAACGGGGAGGCTATAGAACCTGGGCAACTGCTATTGGAGTAGCGGGAGAAAGAGCCAGAAACTGGGAGGGGTCTTGGGACAGGCACCCTGTGAGTCACTCCATATTGGACTTCCTCTGTGCGGTGGGCAGGGCTGGAATGGCTGCTACTGAAGTTCTGTGTGGACTCAGTCCAGGCACTCGGAGGCGTTCTGTGAACTGTAGTGCTGTTCAAGGGAGAAGACGGGCCTGAGGACCCTGAATGGTATGGCTGTCTGTTGTCCACCTGATGTCCCTGGTACGTCTCAGCTGCTGAAACATCCCGAGGGGAAGGCCTTGACTGGAACGGGTAAGTTTTACGAGGATAACATATAGGAGGTGGCTCAGGGATACTCTGAGCCCCTCCAGAGTAGGGTTCGTTGCCCTTTAAATAAGCATCTTGAGAATATGCCTGGAGGAGAATGAAGAAAGAAAAAATGAGTAAGGACTGGGCTAGAGGCTGAGTTATGAAGAGGCAATTCTTTATCCATACAGAGAAATAGGCTGCCTGCCAATGACTGGGAGATGGTCATTACATTTATTTTCCAAGACAAAGAGACGTTTTGAGCACATGCGTCTGGATGTAGCTGCATTATCTACTGGGGTCAGCAGCAAATGGTGTTTGGGGCAATTCTGCTATCTAAAAGTGTGATGCCTAACTTTGCAGATGCCAGCCTAGAGGCAATGGTGAAGTTTTAAGGAGCAATGCTTTAAGCTTTGGTTGATTATCCCCTACCTAAAGCAACCCTCTAGCAAAAAGAGTTGCAAACTGAATTATGCACACACACACATATCCACACATTAAGAGGCTGGCAACAAGTTATCCGCAAGCAGGAACAGAAGAGAATATTCACCCCTCTGCATCCCTTTCTACCAAGAGATGGAAGTCCACCCTGAACTTGGGCCTTCTCGGTGCTTTACTCTCCTTCTGCAGACTTCCTCCTTGGAAATTGTGGCCACTGTTCAACTTACTGATACTAATCCCCTGCTTAAAATCTATTTTGTATCTGAAGCCTCCATCCTAACTTTAAATCCCTCCAGTTTCTAGACCAAGGGTGTGGAACGGTGGCTCTCCAGATGCTGTTGGACTGCAACTGTTATTAGTCTTAGACAGCACAGCCAATAGCGAGGAGAGCTGCAGTGCAACAACATCTCGAGAGCCATAGGTTCCCCAACCCTGTCTGAAATTTTTCTCTCAGCTGAAAGCTCATTTCACATGCCCTTAGAGTATGTTCACAAATTAACAAGATGCAAGCACAACAGTTCACCCAATGGCTAGCAGCAAAGGGTTTGCAGAGTTTTCATCCATACAATATTTATAACTAGGATACTTTCATATATTACTCCTGTCTCAGGAAATATCTTCTTTGCTCCCCAAATTAAAAGCTTGACTGAAGGATGGTGCTGCATTGCAAGTCACCAAATATATATCCTTGAACCCATGTTTGCTGAGGTTAATACAAAAGTGTGTGTGTGTTGGGGGTGGGGGTGGAACTTGGCTGCAGGGAGCAGAGAGGCTGACCTCTGATCTACCACTACTGATCCCTGTTACCCACTACTGCTTGCCCACCGGGGTACTGGCTCTTTGCTGGGCGGGCAAGGAAGCAGGCATGTTCACTCAATCCCACTGAGTTAAATGGGGTTTACTCCCAAGTAAATATACATAAGATTGCAACCTTATATTTCTTTTCTTCTTTTCCAACTACACCATTATGCAAACTTGCCTCAGCATTAAAGCAAATGGCCACTCCTCCTAAATCACCAGACTCCCTATGGTTAGAGTTTAAGGAGAACTGGAAAATAAAACTGGATGTTTCCAGAAAATTGGTAGCAGTTAAAATACTGTCAGAAATAGATGCTGCCTGTTTTCTTTAGTACTCACCTCAAGGGTAAGGCAAAAGAATGGGAATAACCGTAGTTCTGTCATCCATTTAAAATGCCAAAGTGTTGTATCCCAAGGAGAAAATTCTTCTTCTGAGTCATGTCCATATCTGATGCATTGCAAGCTGGGACACAATCCCAAAGAGAAATGCATACACAGAAGAAAAGCAAGCTACTCCTCAGTGACAGACAGGCCCGTCAGAGTTGCACAAAGTTTGAGAATGTTGTGTCTCCTCACCTTCGCACTTCAAATATGACAAAACCTTTGCCAGGTGGTAGTAAGTCCTGGACACAGAGCTGAGGACCAAAAGGTTCTCAACTGTTCATGGCCCAACCCTCCCTGTCAGGCACTGGAATCTTGCCCCTGTTAGATGAAACCACATTTCTGGCGAGGGACTTGCCAAGATCCAAAAAAGGAGCTATGTTGGAAACAAGGCCTCAGCTTAAAGGGGCAGCAGGAGCTCCCTTGTAAAGACAGTTGATGACGCGAACAAAAGAAAGAAACAGAAGAAAAGGAGGACTAACTTATGCCATACGTGTTTGAGTCACTTGGCTGAGAGTAATACTTCCAATGTTAATTAAATTCTCAACACCCACCCCCTGCCTTGCCAAATCCTCAGGCACCATGCCTAATAAGCTAAAACATATTTGCACCCTATTCTAGATGTTGCACAGGGATGACATACCACATTATTGTTGTTTCTGTGCAAACTGGAGACTTTGCTTGCCAAGGAAAAGTCACCCCACTCCAGGTCAGTCACAGTTACCCACAATGTTTATCTTTCAACAGTGGTGGAATCCTGACAATATAAAATTATTACCTTCGCCTCCTTTGCCGCTCTGTTTACAGTCTTGTGTCTCTCTTGTGATCTCTCTTGCTCTCACTCTGCTTTCTTCAAAAAGACCAATTCTCCCTTCCCCTGGGAATTTCTGACGTTCAAGCTAATATTTCCTCTCTTTCTCAATCTTTCCTTTTAAGTTTGGCTTAAAAAAAATAAAATAAACTGGGACGTCCTAATGTGGGAGGGATAAAGATTGCTGTGAATTCCTTTCTGTGCATCCTGTCAAGAGTCACTCTGTAACCCAGGGCTCTCTCATTGGCTGGCCAAGCCGGCTTTCACACCACAGGAATGCCGACACACCCCTGTGAGGCACCAGGGTAGGGGAAACCCACACAAAGGTTCCTTTGCTGTCCAAGATATAAAAAAGCAAGAGCAACTTTAGGTGAACAGCTCTTTACACCTGGACTGTGAGTTACTCTGTCTGTAACTATGTTCCCTTCTGCAGAACTTTAGCTGATTCAGAAATACTCAGTGCAACTCCTAAATCACTCTGGGCCAGTTCTGGAGGTTGCTGACAGCATATAACATCCATGCTCCTGCACAGGCATTGCTTCCTTGCTGTCTTCCCAGCCTCATTTAAAGCTCTATTTTGAATCTCTAATGTCCTAAATGGTGTGGGTCTCACATATTTTAGACCAGGGATGCCAAGGTACAGCTGGCAAGTTGTATCAGTATTCTGTAAAATGCTCCCTCTCATATTTATAAACACACAAATGGTGAACATTTTGGTCATACTTTCACTTGTAAAGAAAGGGCTTGCAGGGATCTTCAAACTGCATGAGAGGAAGATTTACATGGGCTTTGGGAAATTTCTGCATGATGCCTCTCCCACAACACCATGTGTCATCTAACAAAAACCTTGCTGCTGGTGGTGCAAACAGTGTTCTAAAGGAATCAAGTTGTGCAGCAAAACACACCAACACACTTCTACATGCTGGAATCACCATCTGGAGAAAGAACACCCCCACACACACACTTCCCATCCTTGGAAGACAGAAGCTGGCTATTTCTGACTTCAAGGTCCATCACAAAACTTTTGATCTGCCAGGACAGTCTCTTTGGGCCAAGTCTGTATGATAAGGGCCCACACAAGGGCATTCTGAGAAGCTGACCCCACACTTTGGAAACCCCCTCATCTTGGGGGCATATAGTGCCGACAACCCCAAGTACATCCCAAGAGTACTGCATGGTCTCATAATGTTTAGGCTACACTGCAAAGAAGATGATTGTAGATGGGAACTTATGAAAGTATAGCATAATCATGTTACTATACTGCATTTTATGTTTAGTCTTGATACAAGGTTATTTTGTACATTTTAATTGGCAAAGCAAATTTGCCATCTTTGTCTTCCTAAGAGCCCTTGGAAAGTAAGATTCTTCCTGTTCCCAGTTTACAGATGGGCTTGATGGGAAGCCTTGGGCAAGACAGAGTTAGTTGCTGCACCTTTAAAATGGAAACAACAGTGGCTCAGTGCATTATTCCAATGGCAAGCTCACTACAGAGTGAGACACTTTGCAGATTAAAGGTATCACATAAATTACTTACAATGCAGTGTGTGAATCTGTAATGGGTATCATAGAACTGCTGAGGGTTGCACTGGGTGCAGAATGAATCACCTTAGAAATCTCAGCTTATTTTCGGAAAAAACAAAACAAAAAACCCTAGCCTTTTATGTTGTGAAGACAGACTTTGAAATTAAGTGCTCCTGCTCTTCCATTCCATGTAGGGGAAGGGTATTGTTTGAACTGAGCATTCTCTATGGGATTTTAAGGTAAACAGGGATGAATAGTCACAAAACATGTGTGTATTCACTCACACTGTCCAGAACACAAATATCAGCTAACAAGGATAGATGAATACATGGATGTTTGAATAACTAGCATCATTTTAAAAATCAAACAAGCACAATGGATTTTAAGAGTGGAGAAGGAATGCCAGGACAAGGGCCATCGGAGGATATTCAAATGAATGAGTATAAAGGACATAGCATGAAGCTTAAATACCTGCTGAACCCATTAACATTTCTGCTGAACAAAAATGGAACATTAATCAGAACGGAGCAGAAGAGAAGGGAGTGTAGACTACATAATCTATATGTAATACACAGAGGTCTGGTTGCTACAACCTATTCTCAGGGCCCAATTAAATCCTGTATGTGGAAACACATAACTAAGCTCCCACATCTGAGAGCGAGAGAGAGAGCAAGAGAGCAAGCTTTAAAAAGGATCAGTTCAGATCAAAGAACTGGCAGTGGGGACAACGACAAGGAAAGGGATATGTGTACCATTGCTAGTACCACTACTTCTCTCTTCCAATCACAAATTCTCTAGTGTCCTCCTACCCACAATGATATTCCAAAATTGTGCTTGTGAGGGAAAGCATGTCTTTGGGATCCAAGGGGTGGTGTAAACTGGTGTTCTGCAACAGCAGGGGGTTGGACTCAATGGCCTTCATGGCCACTTCCAACTGTACTATTCCATGATTCTATAATTCCAGGCACAGGAAAAACCTGCAGGAGACAACTGATTACGAATAGAGACATGGCAGGGACAGAAGTGAATAAACCTCTTTCTTTTTCTGTTTGTTTCTATTTCCCCTTCCTTAAACTGCTTTACCTTTCAAAAGCAGGAGATATTTTGGTTTATCTATAAGTGCATGCAAGAAGGGAGGGGGGAGAGAGGAAGAGCAAGAGAGGGAAAGGAGAGAGGGAGAGAATCTTGAATTAGGCTGTCAAAGGACTATGGGCTCCCTAACAAAACAAGGGGACATGACAATATGCCTGACCTGCTTGGCCAGTCAGTGTTACCCCTTCAGGAGAGTATCTGCCAGTATTGGCAAAGGACAAAGTACTCACCAACTGGAGAATATCCTCATCTTTGGGCATGATGGAGAGTTCCAAAGCATCTTCACTGCAGAGAAGGATTTAAAAAAGAAAAAAGAAAAGAGTAAGTGTAAACAAGAACTCTAGACCCCACTACACTGTAGTCAAACTGCCACCACCCCTCAAAGCAGTAGCAAATTCTGGGCAAGACTCCAGGGCAGAAGTTCAGGGCTGAATAAGCAGGAGGGCCCCAAATGAAGCAGCAGGAGCCTACCATCTTTTGAAGTCAAGTAAGACACAGAAAAATGTCAAGAGGGGACCTCTCCAACTCCAAAGATGTCCAGATTCAAAAATTAAATAATCTGAGTGCTCCCCTGATCTCAGTGTATCTCAGCTCTCTCTCACACACTCACATTTCCTTTTCCTAGTCCAGTTAGGGGGCACCAGGGTTAAATATAACAGATTGTCATTTACCACAGGCATAGCTACAATATGAACAGGCCACCATACTTCTCTAGCAAGCCAGAGCTGTCAATGTAGAGCCATCTTCTTACCATCCCAACCCTCGTCCAAGCCGCTCCCTACACTGCCACAACAGGAGAGTGAAATTAACACTAAGCAAATGCATCTAACTGCACCCTGACATAATATTTTGTTTAATAAAACATAGCCTCAGAAGGCTGCATTGCTGTGTGGAAAAATAGCACAGGAGGGAGCGAATAGGAGCACTTAACCCTTTGCCCACAGGTCATTTTTCTGCTAAAACAAAAACAACAAAAAACTGCTATGCTGCTTTACCTGCAATGGAGTTCAAGATACACCAAGGTATGTTAAATATTTTTGCATTGAACAGTTTGCTTTGTGGGACAGAGCTCATTTGGTAGAACCTCTCCTCACTTGCTCTCACTCATATCACGTGATTGTGGCTTGGCTAAAGGGGCCTCCTGAAGAGCCCTTTCCCCAATTCATAGTCCTTTCACCTTCATGAAGCAGAGAAGCCAGTAGTAAGAAGGTCAGTGCAAGGGGACCTCTTGCCTTACAAGATCAAATCAGGAAGCGAATTACAACATTTTAAGAAATATTTCTTTATTTTTGCTTGTTTGGAACTTAACAGCATTGCCCAGCACTTGATCCTCAAGTGTATATATCTCAGAGTGTCTAACAAACAAAGGGGGGGAAAGAAACAAAATTAAATTAAAAGTGTAGCTATATATAAAGCACAAAAGCCCTAGCAGAAAACCAAAACATTAGATTAAAACCACTTTCAGTTATTGTTTAAAATCACTATGGATTTTTTTAAAAATGCTTGGCACCAAATGGACATTTCTAGTGCCACTGTATACATATCCACTCAAAGGGAAGTCCCACTGAGTTCAACAGGGCTTCCTTCAAGATTATAGGGACATAACTGTGCTGTAAGAGTAGGTAGCACCAGGCAAGCCTCCTAGAGGAGAACACTCCACAAACGACCAGGGTGCCACAGGATGCCACTGAGACAAGTCTCTCAGTGGTTGCTACCCAACCCAGACACCCACATATGGGTCTCAGCTGATGGCCTCAGTACATGGGCAGGTACCCTCAGAAGATGACAGCCTTTTATGTACCAGGCCCCAAGCCATATTGCAAGGACTGCTTTACATCAAGTCAGAGTAACAGTCCATCTACCTCACTACGCCTATGCTAACTTGGCAGCAGGTTAAGGTTTCAGGTTACAAGAAGCCTTTTCTGGTCTTGTTACTGGAGGTCTTTTAACTGGAAATGCCCAAGACGGAGTCTCTGTCTTGACGAACGGGATGACATCACATCACATGTTTCTTTTACTAGAGGTTACCGGGGAGATGTGTGGGCTAGACATGAGTCAGTAGCAGCTACTTGTCCTACATAACATCTAGTTAGGCCTGCAGATTTTAACCAGAAATTCTCCTAGCTCAGAACTCGCACTCAGCAGTTCCGTACTACAATGAGCAGTTCAAAATAGTTAATAGCTATTTAATCCAGTGGATTCATTGGCAAGAAGGCCCCTCCCCTGAGGCCAGATTGTGTCAAACATACGTTTCCCCATTCTAAGTTTTGTTTTCATTCTCTCTTCTTTAGTTTTTACCTCAGGTGGAAAAAGTCAACTGTTTCTTTCCCTCAAAGATGAGGGGAAAATATTCCCCAGTTCCAGGCGCCGGCTTTGGAATTTGTGGCGACCAGGCGTTTGGGATTTTTCCAGCTCCAATTTTCCCTGTGTACTCCAGCCAACTCTGAAGAGGGCCACAAGCCAGAAAGAGGGGGGAAATAGTCCATACCAAGCTTTTCACAAGCCTTGCAAATCCTCAAATGAGCAATGTTTTCAGTTGCTTTTTGCAGCTTGTCTGTCAAGTTGTCCTCTCTGTTTTCTCTGGATAGGTTATCTTTTTCCACACGCCTTTGATGCTTGTGGGCCAGGCATTTTATATATATAGTTCCCTAGCTGGATTGATTTCACTTTGTACATTCTCCATTCTCTATATTTAGGTCTCCTGCTCAGGTCAGGTTTTCCTCCCTGCATCCCATATGCAATTCTCAAGGCTAACTGGGTATGAGGCTTAATACCACATAACAAAACAGAGAAAGGTAGTGGCCTTTATCAAGCCATTTTCTGTATGGTTCAAGAACACATAAATCTTCTAAGTGTTGAATGCAGAGCTGCTGGTGGTCTAGAAAATGGATACATCTTCAGAACAGCCTAGGAGGCTGAGGCACTTAAGCCCATCATTAGACACACCAAACAACTCACTTAACACACCTGAGGAACCAGCATTTACAGATTATGAGGATAAAACCACAAGTTGAGAGAAACATAACTTACTGCAAGTTCTTGTATTCGCCTGCTTTGTATTATTTTTTTAAATCTCATGTCCTGACATCACCACACTGTGAACATCCCCGGTCACCAACAGCAGCCCAAGATATTGAGGGATGAAGACAACAACTTGACACAGGGATGTTATTTTCAGAGGCAGCTCCATGATTTTTGTGAAATGCAGTTCTGCCCTAAGAACATGGTAAGCAGAAAGGCCTAATGGAAGGCCCATATTATCAGCATTTATCATTTGTGTAGTCCCTAAAATTTCCTAGGCGCTGTACAAACAAGACAGCACTACACACAGGCTTGCAATATTGGGACACTAACAAAAAGAAAATGGAACTGGGGTTCTCTGTATTCTGATTTAGATCAACAGTGCCACCTAGAGTGTCTGGGATTTTGTTCTGCTGCAGGGAACTCTGAACAAATATTTTGAAATTTATCCTTTTTGTCACAAGAGGCAACTGGCCAAAGCTGGCTAGCGCTTTTACAATGCAAATGTAAAGTTGCTAAGCAGGTCTGAACAGCTTCTAAATAAAATTTTAACTGGTTAATTAGACCACTAATCAGACAATCAGACCAGTAATTAGAAATCAGAAATGGAGCCTACCTCACCACCGGACAAAACAACACTCGCTCACCACCAAGGGATGAACATTTACTGTTCTGTTTCCCATAAATATGTGAGATTTTACCTTCACTCTTAAGTCTTCCAGAAAATAACTGATCAGTAGCTGAAATATGCTTTCTCTTTCAAAGAATATCCATTCTGTTAGAAATTGTGTAAATGGTCTGAAATCCAAGAGTCTACTCAAGAAAGTAACATGAAACTAGTTAGTTTAGACTGAGCTTATTGATGTTAGCTGGGAATTTTGTATGTGGAGCTGTAATTTGTTGCCTGCCTTCCTCCAGAAATCTCGTTTATACTTGATATTTGGCTGTTCTGTTTTAAATTAGAATTTCTCACTATATTCTTTGCTGGGTTCAAGACTACATGGATGTTAAGCGCCCTCTTGTGTTCATAGGATATTTTACAAAGTCTTGTTAAATGTTCAGTCTTTTGAGCTGTGGGAATGTGAATCCAATGTTTCTTCTTCTCTCTATTTCTCCAATAGTTGGGCTGAAGAGCAAGATCCTTGACAAAAGGGTGTAGAAACTCCACAAGCAGCTGGGAAGACTAAGGTGTGGCAGGTTTAACATAACTGATTTTACCTTATAATTCTTTTTGAAGAATAATTGTAAAGAAGGGGATTTGCCTGTAAATAACCTGCACCCTCACCTGTAGCATGAGGGAGCAAGCAAATTCAGGTACTGTCTTAATGGCATATAACTGAGCATATAGTGAACAGCTGGAATGGCTACTGAGTGGAAAAGGAGGAACCAATATGGCAGCCAAGCCTAGGTGGTCTAATGGAGTAGGCTTTGTTGACTGTCCTCTCATGCAGATGCAGACAGACTGATGGCTGCTGGTGGAAATGGTTATGATGGAAGAAGAATAAAAAGGCAATCTGTCTCAGCAAACCAAATAGGAACAGCCTCATATGGTCACTTTCAGGTGGGCAATACCTGGTTCACATAACAAGATATCCCAAGTATGGGCTGAGTATGGGTTCTTGTTTTCTGGGCTGCTGTACAGGGGAACCCAGCTTTGCCAATACACCATGAGTTGTTAACCTCGAACAACCCAGAATTCACAAGCCAATAACAAATGATGTGTTCTCTTCATGGGTTGTTCATGGTTTTAAAAAAATGGTTTGTTAAGCACAATTAGGTTCCAGCAATCACAGCAACAGCCCACAATTCAGTGACCACTCATGGGCTGTTGTGCTGCATGAATAAGTCTGTGAACAAAGCAGTTGTCATGTTAACTGCTATAAAACAGTGGCTACAAATCAGCACTAATATGCTGATCAGAGCAAGTGGAGAAGAGTTGGAGCTGAAGAAAAAACATGCAGAAAACAGATGAATTATAAAGATGCCCACCATACAATACTCTTTGTATTGTACTTTATGTTTTCAACTATTTGTATGGCATTTAACTCTTTTAATGAAAAATAATATTAACAATAAACATAATATTTTAATCCACTCAGAATGTTGGTGACTGGGTAAATTAGGTAATATGATGAATAAACATAAAGAAGGAAGGACAGACGGATGGACAGAAGGAGAGACAGAGAGACACTGAAGACATGTGATTGCGAGGGGCAGTTAGAAAAAAGCCTAAAGAGAAGTCTAATGAGTAACAAGACCTGAGGAGACATAAGGAAAGACATGTGCTTTTGTTCAGAGACCTATTAAATCAGGGGTCTCAAACTCGCAGCCCGCGGGCCAATTGCCGGGACAGGCGGGGCATGGGGAAGGGGCCCTGCGGCCTTCAAAGCGTCGGCGGCACCCGGGCCGGCCTCCGGGAGCGACACAGGATGAGCGGCCCACCACCACCGCTTGATGCAGCCCAGCCTCACCCAGACTCTACTTCCAGCAGCCCCCAGGTAAGTTGAGTTTGAGACCCCTGTATTAAATAATCTCAGCAACCTTCTGAAGTTATATAGAAAGTTTCCAGTGCATAACATTTTGGAAATATATGTACTGAAGAACAGAGTGTATATGTGCAAAATAAAGGATCTAATTTAAGCTTTCTCTTCTGCAATCACAAAGACTTATGAACTGAAAGAAAGGAAAGGAAATGCCTCAGAGGCTATAATCTTAATTTTTTTTTCCATGAAAAAGGTCAGATATCTGACTTAGCAAAATTGGTTAGACTCCTAATGCCATGAAGTCCATGTGATAAAAAGGGTTATTTTGACATGACTTTAAAAGGCAAGTTTGCAGAAAACAACAACTCACCAGTTCTGAATGAGGCCAATCACCTGTGAATAGGTTTTCCCAATTATGCTTTCACCATTCACTTTGACAAGCCGGTCTCCTAAAAAAGAAAACAGGAAACAAAGAAAGCCTGACCAAGGGCATTTCCAGACACAGCTTTTCTTTTATTGTTATCCCATGTCATGCATAGAATTTTACAGGGGCTCCAGGTGGTGGCACCTGACCCTCCTGTCTTTTTCCCTTATCACAGAAAATCTGTCAAGGAGTGAAAGACAGAAAGGATGCATCATGCCCTATGAGTAAGAGTGTTAGAAGCCCTAGATCTGGAAACATCCCTAAACAAATGAATGTGAGTCAAACCTGGAACTGAAGGAATATGTTGTAGGGGGAGAGGTGTCTTTTTGAAAAGGAAGGACATCTAAAACATATACTGGTTACATATAAAGGACTATGCATTACTTAGAGGATGATCAGGAGATAAGTTCACAGGTCCATTTGGGCCTCACAGGCAAATCTTTGGGACCACCCTGTGGGTTCAAGGGTGGGAAACTAGAGCAACTGTGGAACATCACTACAAATGTGCATACAATGCTCAGCTCTGACTTTACTAACAATAGGGCCACCAAATGGCCCAGACAAGAAAAGAATGGCCAGAAGGCTACTATAGCAGGATCTCCAGTTAGGAGAAAGAAGACATTCTTCTCACCTGTCCGGAGGCCAGCCTGGTGTGCTGGCCCATCTTCCTTCACACTTTTCACAAATATGGTGTCCATGGGTTCCAGGCGGTTCCGTGATGGAGCTGTATCACAGTGGAAGAAGGAAAGAAATGGGACACTAGGAGTCTTGATACCCGTTATTTTTGTTATTGTGGTCTTCTGTGATTTAACCACATAATTGGGATTGCAGAAATGGAGTCATAATAGCTCATTCCATGTGATTTGGAAGGCTGACTATGATACTAACTGGCAAAGGAGTTACGTATATTGAGGACCAGCCTTGCCTGAAAAATAATCACAGCATAACCCAATCCAAAGCATGGGCAGTTGTGCCACCTATGACCATTAGCAGCCCTCAAAGCTGGATAGTCTGCAATGCCCAGTATCTACCCCTTAAGGGTGACAGATTGAGGCTCCCAGAAAAGCCAAATGTATTCTATCAATGCTAAAGAACAGTGATGTGTTCCGATGGCATCAGATCTGCTCAGCTCAAAATCCTGCCTCAAGGCACTGGAGCTGCAGACCTGTCCTTCAACCAGAGAAGGAGGCAAAGAGTAGGACTATTAACTGCAACAAAGTTATTTTCAGTCAAAGCCTCCTTCCAGTTAACTTAGAAGAAATCACAGAACTTCCCCTTAATCTTGGCACTCAGAGAGACCAGCACAAATAAAGTTGGACTAGATTGGAGGTATGGTAAGGGGCTAGACTCCTTGTTTTAAGTACAGGATATAATGCAGTATTGTCAAGGTGGAATGGGAGGATATAATGAAGTATTTGAGGCTTTAAAGAGACGAAGAAGCTGCTTCTAAGGGTACTCTAGGTCTGGAACCTGGTTGTTAGATAAGAGACCATGGATCCTGTAGGGTCAAGACTACAACTGACAGCAAAACTAAATGAGTTCTTTTATATCAGCCATGTTGAACCTCTGTCAGCCTGGGGACAAAGTCCATTCTGCAAAAGCTCTTGGGGGATGCATTTCAGTGGTTTGTGGGGCAAAAATATTTTTTTTAAACTAGCATGTTTTAATTTAATGCTCATATTGCCAGAAACTACTGAGAGACACTGCAAAGATACGACTAAGATATCACACTATACAATCCTTCCTTTGAATCACTTCAGATTCATAGTTTGACTGGGTATGGGGGTTTGGGGAGAGATTTGCAAGGAGACCTGAGGGGCAGTGGAGAGAAAAGGCAGCTTTGCAGCATGACAAAACCCTGTCCCTGCAGGATTCTATGTTACAGAGAACAACAAAGAAGGATTAAGAGACAGAGGGAGCCCTGCTATGCCATCTCTTGGAGTGCCTACATCAGTGAGAAGCAATGTTTCTCTCTATAGGAAGCAATGGTCCACAGATTGCAAGAAAATTGCAAGAAATCAAGAAGAATATGTGTGAATAGACACATCAGAGCATTCTGGAGAAACTTCCCCCATACAAGACTTCACTGCACTCATTTTTTTTTTCATCTGGAAACAGGTTGGGAATGTACTTCTGTACTTACAACAGTCTGATTCACAAAATATAGGTTGTTAAATTGTAGACTGCTGTTACTTGAGAACCTTGCACTATAGTTTAAGTATGGGTTGTTAACCACAAAACAATCCATAAGAGAACCTATGGTTTGTTGCTGGGTTGTTCTAAAGAACTGTTTGCCTTGTTCATGACAGATAGTGTTTTCATAAGGCAAGGTAGACTGGGCTTACCCATAGGTTTCAGTCCAACACATATGGAGGGCACCAGGTTGGGCAAGGCTAATTCACTAGTGGATCTTAGAACATTTTCTGTTAGATACTGTGGCACCTCCTAATTGGAGGGATCGCTGCTCAGCGAAATTGTTTTCTTCCAGCAAATTACATCTGGTGATGTTAAATAAAAATGTACACTTAGCTAAACATTCCTTAACTGTTAATATATCCTGAGCATATACTTTCACTTTGTAAAAAAAAAAAAACACACTGGTGGACCTCAGTGCTGATCACTGACCTATATTCTCACACACATAACCGAAACCAATTACCTGAGGCATGACAACGGAAGTGTAACTACATACCTGTTCTGTTTCCATTTTCTTCTTCCTGCAAGAGAGAGAGAGAAAGATTTTGACCATGCCAAAATGTCTTCCCACTCCAACATCAACAACAGCAAGAGAGAAAGGGTGAGCTGTTTAACTTTTTGCCACCAGCTGGTTTTCTCCTTAAAATTGCCCAACTGAAGCTACTTATCTTGAAGGAGAAAAAGATATGGGAACATACATTTTGCCTAGCATGGGACAGCTCGAGCAGGTGATTTTGGGAGGATAAACTGATTGATTTAAAGGGTTAAGCACCCCAACCCACTCCTGATTGCAGCCTGCAGTGCTTACATTTTGTTTTTAAAATGACTTAGGAAATCCCATGGACCACTGTACACTTTGTTGTTTGGCCTCTTCATGCAAATGCCAATAAAAGACTTAAGAGCTTTCCTCATATTTTCTGTTAATTCTCTGTTGGATTTTACAAGACAGCTCATCATATAAATGTTTGCATTTCTATCTGATGCTCTTCTCAGGTCAAAATGTCCAGCCAGCCTCAACTGAAATTACCATTCTTAGTTACTGAAGCTGACAGAGAAATGCCTGTTATTACCTCAGTTGGTACTTATCCCAAACTTCCAGGAGAGTATTCATGATAAAATTGCTATTTTTGTAATATCTGTGACTCTCATTCTTTTTTATCCATGCTAATGAACACTCTACAAAAATACAGAACTGATCTTCAGTCATACAATAAAAATCAGTTCAACTCTTTGCATCATAAGTATACATTTAGAATTTCATAAACCTCATTTTCCTCAATGATCATACATTACCTTTATTTTAACCCCAGATTTCTTACTATACAAGATGAAATAAATAAATTTTTTGGCCAATCACGCAACACTCAAGTATTGTAATACATTCCACAATACAAATATTAACTTAAGGAGAATATTTCTTTTAAATGGTATTAATGCCACTTAGGAAAGACAATAATACTGCTCATATCATGATATCTTCTTGTATGTCCTTAATATATGCAGAAAGATTGTTTTTAAACTAGTTACCACTTTTCCTTAGCAGGAATGACAAAATTTGTGAATTTGGCTTCTCTCAGTTTCTCATTTTTCAAGCAGTTTATGAACTTTCTTTTTTCAAGTATACATGAAAATTCTTATGCATTATTTTTTACATTTCTTTAACATACACATTTTCTGTGTAATTCTGCTTAAGGTGCATGTTCCTTACAAGCAATTTCCTCTTATATAATGCATTTTATATATTGTTTTCATGGCTAATGTACATATTACATATACATATTTCATGTTTATACATATTTTCATATGAATTTTCTCTGAATATATGTATTTTGTTTGCATTTTTACATTGAAGAACTATACTGAACATTCAGGAAATATTGGTATAGTAAGTGAGAACTTTTATAATTGCTCCATTATTATACATGGATTCCTTTGAAATGTTTTCAGTTTTTCTCAAATATTTTCTTTCTTTTTTAAAGAAAAGTTGCAGTGCCTGGTTTTCCAGCATCTTGGGAAAAGCCAGACTGTAGCTAACATTTAAGTAATTCAAATGGGACTGTCCAAATACATAACCATTTGTGCATAATTGGCCTATGTATCCAGGAAAAATAGGAGGTTGGCCCTGAATGTGAAATGTTGTTAAAACAAACACAATCTGGTAGCTGGTTACACAGAGCAACTACTAAGTTATTTTGTGAAGGATTTATTAAGGGGTTGCTTGACTCTGAAGAAGATAAGATTATACTGGATGATAGGAGGGCAGCACAAATGGAAAACAAATTTTCCCATCTCTCTTCATGAATTCCATGGATCACAGCCATTTTTGTGCCTTTTCAGAATAATGGGGTGGATCCAGATTTAGTCATTCTTAGAGAAAATGCACTGAAATCAATGGGAGTTAAGTTAGTTATGAGTTACACAACTTTCCTTCTATTAAAATGATTAGGCTTTGCTAAGTTGTTCCTTAAGTTTAACACCCCGTTCCTCACAAGTTTAAACCACCCCTACCCTGGTAAGATTCCTGTACTAACAGGCCTTTGTCCCATCCCATATATCCCACCCCATCCTTCCTGCACTATTCTATCTCATATACAAGCTTTAGCCAACTTTGCTTTAAGATAATATGGGTTAAGCTAGGCATAAAATTACATATAATGCAAAGCAGCCCTAAATAGCTAACCACTGTGAATAAAGGCCATAGCATAAAAACAGCTTCCACTACCCTGACAGAAAAACAACTCAGCTGACCTCCTCTCCATACTATGAATATGGCTTGCAAATACATCTACAACTCAATTTAAAAAAAACAGCAGCAGCACAAATAGTAATCCATCAGTTTGCAAAGTTTAACTCTCCTTTCCGGATACAGGGTTTCTGGATACAGGCTTTCTGGATTTTTATGATCATGCACAATGCTGAGTAAGACTCAACCTTGCAAAATAGCAGATTTCTATTCTGCACAGCAATGTTATCCATAAGATGGGTTAGGAAATGGCTCCATTCCAGCTGTTGGGGGCCTGGGCAAACCTGGCTTCTCAAGTCTGGCTTTTTGGCTGGGATTTGTCCCTGAAGACATGCTATCATTGTTTTAGGAGGAAATGGCAATCCACCTCCCATTTCTGAGTATCTGAAACAAAAGAACCCCAGCCAGGTGAGCTAAGCCACCTAATAATGAGCTGCCAACCCTCACATTGTCCCTTTTGTGCTGCACCACCCACTGTCCTTTGAGAGAGTGCAGGCTGTCTTCTGGGCACCCACAGGATGGGGATTTAAATGGAAGGAAGAAAAAGTTTGCTTCTAGCTGGCATCATGTTTACTTATTTTGTTACAGTTTATTAGTTATCACCCGTTAGACAAAGCTCTCTAGGTAGGTCATAAAAGAAACTTAGAAGTCTAAGATATAATAATATGGTAAAATATATTAAAATGGTCATTTCAAACAGTATAAAAGCTAAAGAGCAGCAAAAATGCAAACATCAACAATTCACTGATGCTGTTTTTTTTAAAAGCAAAGGGTAAAAAGTCTAGTGCCAGAAAGACCACATTTTAGGATTAGAACTTACATGTGTCACAAAAATTGAGTTCCTAAAAAACAGTTCCTTATATAACAGTATCTATAATAAAAACAAAAAGGCTCATGCTGCAATAAGAAATAAATTGATATTAATAATTTAAAAACTGCCAGCTTGATCTCCCAGGAATGAATGTATAAATAAGGAAGTGCTAGACTCTGGAAGATGGAAGTATCCAGTATGCATAATTTACACTGCAATCCTCAATGCACATTTACTAAAAAGTTGCTCCACATTCAATGAGGCTTATTTATAGGTAAGTGTGCACAGGATAGCAAGTTTTATATTCTTCTGCAATTCTTTTTCTTTTAGCAGCAAGAAGATGCTACTGAGGATGAATGGAGATGTCTCCAAGCTTTACTTCTACAGGACTAGCAATTTATGCTTACCTTAAGTGAAAATAGAGATATCACCCTAATCAGCACACAGGCAAGTATCTGTCAATTAGTTCCATTGTTTCAAGGTGAGCCTAAGCCTATTGTTAGTTTTTCTGTATTCCGTGGCAGAAGCTGATGGGTATGTGGCACCCACCAAGATTATTATTAGTAGTGTACACTGCATTTATATCCCTTCTTTTTTCCTCTTGCAAGAAACTTAACGGGGCTTACATAGCTCCATTTTCACAACAGCCCTGTGAGCTGGGTTAGGCTGAGAGTGACTGACTGGCTCAGAGGCACCCAGTGAGCTCCAAGGCTGAGCAAGGACAAGAATCTGCATCTCCTAGGTTCCCAGTCCAACACTAACCACACCACTACACTGGCTCTATAAAATGCCACTTTTATAGGCTATGGCTGCCATATAAATTCTTCCACAATGCCACTAGATGCTGCTGCACTGAGATGCAAGTCATCGTAAGGGAATTAAAATGGCAGTAAAGAAAAAATCATGAGCTTAAATAGACTCCGGGGGATGGTGGAGGACAGGAAGGCATGGAGGAATGTTGTCCATGGGGTTGCAATGGGTCGGACATGACTTCTCGACTAACAACAACAAAGAAGAAATGGCAGCCACCCAGTGCACTGGGTCAGTGGTAGTGTTAATGGCTGTCTGAGGCTGCCTAATGGAGCCAAATTTCAACATGCCTGCCTTCAGATATAGACAAAAAAGTATAAATAATGTTGTAAATAATCTATCAGGCCAGGTGGAAGTGGGGGTGGAGTATTGCAAGCAAAATAAAGGGGAGAATAGGGAGTATGTTGTGGACCAAGGCCACAACCCATGGCAAGAGCACCCTCACCTGAGAGGGAATTTTACACATCCTTGTTAGTGCAACAGGGCCATCCTGTCTGTAAAGAATCAGGGATGGTCGCTTGAAATCATACCAGACAAGCATTTTGGATTTTGACTTGACAACAATTAGGCTGACACACTCCAGGTAAGTTCAGTTAAAAACCCACCATCCCCAGTTGTTTGTCCTGACTGGGGAGTATGAGATTTGTGGCCTGATACATCTGGAGGGCACCAGGTTGAGGAATACTGCAATACAATATATACTAATCTTTCAGTTCGGGCAAATAGCCTGAGGACCCAAGAAGGGAAATGATCATGGACTGTGGCTGCTGTCTGGAACCAGGAAGCAAGCAGCAGTTTCAGAGGAATTAGAAGAAGGAAGGAAGGGAGAAAAAGAAATTAAATTTATAGAGAGTAGCTGAGTCACCCCACTTCAATCATTCCATGCAAATCACACCCACGTGTCCCCAAGTAAGTGTATTTCAAAAAAGAATTTGGAGAGCAAACAGCTCTAGATGACTTTAAGAAGTGAGCCAAGTTGCATACTGCTGGGGAAAGGCAAAATTCTCCCATGGAGAACCTCTACTTAGCACAAGTTTTGTTGTCCAACAGTTGAATCCAATCAGAGGGAATGGAAACAATGCTTTGCATTTCCTAAAATGCCTGGAACAGTTGCCTCCTTGCCGCACCCCTCCTCTAAGCCAGTCTCTGTTGAAACA